ACATTGCTCTTTTTCGGATAGCTCTTTTTTGCAGACGCTGCTGCTGAATAGCCTCTTGGCTCTTCGATTACAGTCACTGAAGAATGGATTTAGGCCATACCGTAAATCATGGGCGGGTTCCTCTTCTTAATTAACCTCGGCACTGGTTGCTCGGTAGAATTTGAACCTTACTTCCTCGTCGACCTGATCTTCTTCAGTAGCCTCAAGTGAATCTGCGTTCTCAGCTTCCGTTGTTGTGCTGGGTGTTCTGCTAGTCATTGTCTTACTTGCTTGCTCATTATTAATGTACCCCTCGATTGATTTCTCCATCGCTTACAAGGGCTCACAATGGCTCACTGTCCTTATTGAAGTTGTCTGGAATAATGTCAAGCTTTTTGTTGGCACCATTCGTCTTGTCCCGAATGTTGGCACCTTTCGGCTTTGTTCTCTTCCTCGTAGCCGATGAGCTTACTTTCTTGTCCTGCCCTTTCCTCCTGTTACCTGGATCCCAGAAATGCGCTCTCGCCTATACCCGCTACTGATCTCGATAATTATTTTTACTATACTTATTGATAAGCTTTATTGAAATCGATTTCTTCAACTTATGAACGGTTATGATGAAATTCAAAATAATTTATGGGCTCAGAATTTTGTTTGAAAATTAAAAGATTTAAAATCAAATATTTAAAAAGAAATCGTTTTTTAAAAAAACTTGTAAAAAAATTTTGAAAACCCAAAATTTTTCAATACGGAAAAAAATCTGGAAAAAAGAGGAAAAAATCTGTTCAAATGCGGAAAGAAATCTGTTTAACAATTTAAAAGTTTTTTGTCTCCAGCATTTTGCCGGAATTCTTTATTCTGTTTCTCAGAAGATAAAACACCAAAAGTTGGATCAGTTCAAATGACTGGGTAGCAGCGGCAGGTTCAAGATGTCGGTAAAATCACCCGACTCAGTATTTTGGTGCTACATTTATGCCAATTACTCGCAAAAAATTATCAATTTGAACTTATACGTTCTTCCCAGACTTTTTATTTAGGGTAGGATTAACTATACCTGTTATAGTTTTTTTTTCTCGAGTCAAATTTAAGTAATTTTGCTCGGACTAGTAACTGTCTTCGGATTTCCTCTACCACCTGAAAAATACTAATATGGGTCAAAATAAACTACTTGTTACACGTGCTTTGATTTTTTGAAAGAAGAAGTGGTTGTACATTTGCTATTTGATTTTTGGACTAGAGATTTTGGAACAAATTAATGCAAAAGTGATTTGAACACACTTCTTTTATCATATTTGTTTTTGAAAATAATTACGAGGGGTCTGGGCTTTTTAAAAATTATTGTAATTGCAAAAAACTACTTGCGTAGAAAAACAAACTGTAATGAACAATCGAGCTGCATACATTTTTTACCAAGCCTATAAATTAAAAACTTCGTATTGCAAATTGGATTTCCCTAGAACAACTAATGGTCAAGAATGGTATTTGCCTCTAGCGATCTGACATAGTCCTCTGCGATAGCCGAGCACTCTGCATACAAGTTTTTCAAAAAAATTTAAGCAATAAAAGGTATGTTTCTAACATTCTTGCATTTTGCTCATAAATAAAGTCCCTTTCTTATGAAAATGTGACAAAAAAAAGTAGAACATAATTTTGTCAAGCTGGCATAGGTCTTGACATAGATAATGTTCAGGAAATAAAAAATCTTCGAAAACTGTTTTTTTTTCAAGTTATTTGTATTTAACATTCATTATTATCTAGAAAATCAAAAAAAAATTACTAATTAAACAATGTAGAAAAATTAAAATGTCGAAAAAAAGGAAACATTCTCTGCATACAGTTAGGCAGATCGTTTTATTTTTTTTTTTCAAAAAATTGTTTAAGTACAGTACCAATCTTCTCGCATTTTGTCAGGGTGGAGCCTAGAATATTTTTTTCTGTCGCATAAGTTGCCCGTAAGAAAATGAATCTCAAGTGTGATTCAAATTTGAAAAAACTAATGCTAGTTAGTGCACAGCTTTTCTGAGAAAAATGTCCCTGAACTTTCATCGAGAAAAAATAAGTTGGAACGGTATTACATCCTAAAAAAATTTTTGTTTTTTCTTTTTCAATTATTTAATTTCAAATATTTGGAAAGAATACTAATTACTTTTTCTGTTTCTCAGGAGAACGCAAAGAGTTGGATTAAATGGGTAGCACCGACAGATATAGGCCTTAGAGTAACCTCGCGCCACCCAAGATTTTAGTACTACAATTTTGACACTTACTTGCAAAATTTCCGTATTTTGAGTTTTCTCGCTTCAGAATTCGTTTTAAGAAGTTCTCTCTGGAGATCTTTTCTTCAGGCAGGTTTGTGTTTTTCATGAAGTAGTTTTGGTTCAATTTCCTATAATTAAATAGTGACTTGAGCTCAAAGTTTATTGGGAGTTTCTCCAGCATTTACTTTTTGGAAAGTTAAGAGAATCAAAATTGCAGTTTAACTATGTTGGGGCAAGTTGTCAAAAAAAATAGGTTTCGATTTCTCATTAACCCGTGTCTTAGGTACGCCGTGTTATTGTTTTGAGAGTTAACGTGTAATTTAACTTCGTGGTTTTTCTTTTTTCCTAGTCTGTTTAATCTTACACATGGATTTTTTCTACACATTGATTTTTTCTAGTAGTGTTGTGTTTAAAATTTGAGCAACTATTATATTTTTAAATGTCTAAATAACTATTACTTGCTCACTGCCAGCAATTTATTAATATAATTTTTAATTGCAACTCTTTGTTTTAGCTTGGATTTAATTTCTGAAGTGCCAGCTCCTAATTTTCTGGGATTAGTTGCATATTTTTTAAGGCTGTGAAGTTTGGAACAGGATTTGTTAGCGAGATATTGAATCGAGATATTTGCAAATTTGTTAGCGAGATATTTGTTAGCAAGATATTTGCAAACTGTTCAACATTCTTTTTACGATGGTGTAGCTATCAGGAGAATTTACAAAAAACTTCATGGGATGATGATTTCTGATGAAAGTTCTGGCAAATGATGAATCAATTAAATAGGTTTCGATACATTCAGAATACAGTGCTGATTTAAATTATCCGGACAAAACGAACAAAACTTGAATTTTCAAACGCGTTTTTCTCAAATTGGGCTAGGATTAGACAAAAAATGAAGAGGACAAAAATTGCTTAGAATTTCACCAGAATTAATATGGTGCCATTTTTTCTCCGAAATTCTCAACAAAAATTTTACCCCAAAAATGGGTCATTTTGGCTTTTTTCAATTAATCAAGAATTACTGAAACTACTTTGTTAATTGATATGAAAATTATATCACAGGAAGCCTCTTACGCAGTTGAACAAAGTTTAAGAAGGGTTAAATCTCCAAAAATTTGCGCAAATTGTTTAAAATTTATTTTTAAACAGATTCTGGGTTTTATATTGTAAAAATCACATTTATTGACTATCAAGTAAAAATTTTTTCATTTATACTGGTTTTTGGAAATTTAACCCTTCTTAAACTTTGTTGAACTGCGTAAGAGGTAAAATTTTGGGGTAAAATTTTTGTTGAGAATTTCGGAGAAAAAATGGCACCATATTAATTCTGGTGAAATTCTAAGCAACTTTTGTTCTCTTCATTTTTTGTCTAATCTTAACCCAATTTGAGAAAAACGCCTTTGAAAATTCAAGTTTTGTTCGTTTCGTCCGGATAATTTAAATCAGCACTACAAGAATATCGTTAAATACTAGTTTAAAACTTTCTAGTTTTCCATTTTGGGTCAAATATGAGGTAGAGGTAAAGTGAACTGGCTCCAAAGAGTCGTTCACGCTGATTATCTGCATAAAAAAAGTGTTCTTTGGAGATCCCAAGATCGCTTTATTTTTCTTATTTCAGCTTAGGAACTAGTACAGTCTTTGAGTGTGAATTAACCCAACATCATGGATCGTTAAGCACGAATTTAGGTATATTTTCAAAAATGAAAAATAAAAATAATTACAAACACATAAAGAGATCCCAAAATTTTTCGATGAACGCGTAAACTTTTAAGGCTTCAAAATCAAATGATTTAGGGTTTTTATAAAAAAAAAACAGAAATAAATATGATAAAAATCTATTATGCGTTAAATTCTGAATTAATTGAGGATTCAGAAAGTTTCAAGTTGGGAAAAATCTGACTTAAAGTTCAAGATATGACAAAGGGAAAATCCCGGTAAGTGCTATAAATTTGAACTTGATGGTTTGTTAAAAAAAGAAAAGTTAAGTTTGAAAAATTTATTTGGCATCGATCATCACAGATATCTTTATTTGAAAACTGCAATAGTTTTGTTCGCGAAGAAATGAAGAACTGACAGATTTTTCCCTCAAGAAACACGAGAAAAAGATTAAGTTAGCATATTCACTAAACTGTGGTATAGGAATTCTTTTGTCAGATAGATTAAGATCTGGATTTTCTAAGTCTAAGTTATCTAAGCTAAGTGAGTTTTCGAAGGTCTTGATCGAACCTCGTTGGTCGCACCAGTTGACGTGTTACAAATCAGTTATCTCATAGATTACTTTCTGAGTGAGTACACCGACTGTTTTTGACCAGATATTTTTGTGGAACTCCTCAGTCTAATATTGAACTTGGTCCATTGAACTCATATTTCTTAGTCCTATAGATCGGTAAAAATACTGGTAACTGCGAGGTTACTGATCTTTTTTTTCTAATTACTTATAAAATGGTCTGACTAAACGGTCTGGTAAAACTAATCAGGCTTTATGCTAAACAATTAGGTTGATAATGGGCTTTGTTTAGTTAACAATCAAATAAAAATCAGGAAGAAAAAATAGAAAAGAAACAATGCATTTTTAAAAAACTTTTCATGAAAATTCCTATATACGAGCTGTTTTCCTTTTTTACAAAATTTTGATGGCATTTCTGCAACCTGAACTTTAACTATTTTAACAATGAATTCAATTCAATTTTTTTAAATGTGAAAATGTTAGGAGGATAAAAAGATATGCTAATGAGCTTCATTATTCATTAATTCTTACGGCATTGAGGAAGTTGTTATTTGATTGTTCACAAAAGTTTTATCAACTACTTGCAGAAAACAGCATTTTCATCATATCTCTGTTGCTGCGATAATCGAAGAAAGTTAAGGCATAATTTAACTGGGTATGGCTTTTTCTCCAGATACATTTCGGTCTTTTAACAAAACTTTTGGTCATTTTTCCATGACAAAGAATGATCACTATAAATAATCACCTTATTTTTTTAAAATAAATTTCAGGATTTTTACAATTGCCAGTGAGGTCATTTTGGAACAATTGATTCGAGGAAGTCTTTTTGTTTTAGATGAAGCCGTACATCTTCTGAAAACCTTTTTTTATTTGAGCATTTAATCAAAACTATTGCTGGAAATACAGGCAAAGTGAATATCATGAGTTTTTGAAGAAGTTTGCTTTTAAAAAATGATGAAACTTTAGGAACATAACAAAAATTGAAAATTTTAGATTTTTGTGTCTTTCGCCAAACGCAACGAGTTCGTCCTAAGGCAAAAGGTTGAAGTTTACATTCGCCTTTGAAGTTTTATCAAACGCTCAAACTTTTCAGCTCGTTTTTCTACCATATTTTCCCAACTTACAGCAAAATTCATGACACTGAAAGTTTCAATTTGTGTGAAAAAAAAACAATACCGAGCCCAAGAAGCCATTGCTTCTTCAAAGCAGAAAAAACTCAAATTAAACTCGTAAGCGTGGCTACTCAGATGTGTTTCAAATTTCTTTTTCAAATAAAATAAATTGAATTCGATTTCACTTTAAAAAGGCAGGTTTGTTTCTCGTTTTGATCAAGCAAAATTGTCTTGAAACTGTTTTTTTTTTGCTAGCTGCGTTTTCAAATAAACAATTCATGAAGTTTGTTTGAAACTGTGCTCCTAATTTTTGACAATAAATTGGTTGCTAAATCTGAAATCTATTAATTAGCCACAATCTTTGCCGACAAAAACTGGTCCTCTTCGCAGCAATTGAAAAATGAAAAAAAAAGAATAAAATTTTTTGGAAAAGCTCAGAGTTCAGATCGCCACTAAAATGTTTACTAGGCCTTCTACTTTTGCCTCGGGCATTAAAGATTGTGCCATACACAATTTTCTGTTTGAGCACAATAAATCTTCAGTAGGTACTAAATTTTACGACGTTTTTTCCGACTGTCGTGCTCGGGTGGTTTTTCTCTCGACAACTTGTCTCTCAAGGATTTTTGTTTGCTCCGGTGCTTAATTCTCGGGTAGTTTTTTCTCAAGCTTTTTTTTAGCCATTTCGACAGTCGATGAAGGAGGGCGGATTTTCAAAAAAATTTCGAAATCTTTGTCGACTTTTTTTAGGTCGACCAAATTGATTTTCTGAGCTCTCCCAAAGTACTACAAAGACCCTGTTTTGGCCAAAATTTCTGCGCCGCAGGCAAAATTTTGAAAAAAAAACAGGCCAAAAAGGCGTTTTTAGGCACTTTTTGCATTTGTTTACCAAAAAATCGCGTTTTTTCGGCGCCAATCCCCCCCCCTCAAAATTAGAATATATTGGCGCCGAAGGTGCCTTTAAAAAATTTTTAGGGTCCATCAGCTAAAAATGGATATCTCAAAATAGTACAAAGGGGCAGGGGGTCGAATCCCTAAGGGGGTGTGTCGAACAGTTCTTAAAACCAAAAATCTTTTCATAAACAAGGAAGTCAATTGGAAATTGTAGGGCTTAGTCTAGAAACGATTTGTTCCTTGAAGTTTTAGAATAGAAGATTTTGAAATTTTAAAGTTTTTTCGATCAAAACACTGGAGTGAGTGAAGCTGATTTTGAAGCCCTTGCTTCGAGAAACAGTCAGTTAAACAGTTGATGTGATTAAAAAATTTAATTTTTTTTTTCAAAAACACTTAGACTTCAGAAGTTTCATTCCTCGAACTCAAATTAAACAAGGTTGCTGCGCAAGTATCACAAAAAATTCCGACTACAAAAAATGTACAGCTTCCTTTATTTCAAAAGTGGGTCAATTTTATTAATAGTGCAGTGAAAACAGCCACTTTCCTGAAAGTTGAAAAGGAAATTTATAAAAAAAATTAAAAATTTCTACTGGGTTTCGAATAAAAAATTTCCAAGAAAAAGCTAAAACAAACTTCGAAAATAATTTTAGCTTGAAAATGTTATATCATTGGACTCACTCCTACAATTTTTTTCTCGTGATTGATTTAGTGTTCAAAAAACAATATCACAGCCATAGACAAAGTTCCTCCCTATATTTCTATTGACACAACAAAAAACAATTTAAGGGAAAAGATCAGGAAGATCTTTTTTTTGCAAATTCGATTGGCTAATATGGCAATCTATTCTGTAAAACATGGGAAAGTTTAAATTGACGTGACAATTTTTCGCTTGGTTACACCATCCCTCGAAACCCATGTTAAGTACCACGTGTTATTTTTCTAATTTATTGCGCATGATGTGGACTAAATAGTAGCCCAAGCAATTCCAATGATTTCTGAGCTGAGTTAAGTCACCACTCTTTCAAATTTTGGATTTAATTAAAACTCGAAAATGCTAAGAACACTTTAAGCAGTTCGTGCATTAGTTATTTTAAGCTTTACTAAGATTGTAATCTTGAAATTCCCTTTTATCACTTCAAACACGTTAAATAAATTGTCATATCACTTTAAGCTTTCCCATGTTTACAGACTGGATTGCCATTTGAGTCAATTGAAATTGCAATAAAAATATCTTTCTGATCTTTCTTTTGGCTGTATTTTTTTTCAACACTAAGTCAGTCACCGCAAAGTCAGTGGCCTCAATTAGGTGGAGTGAGTCCAATGATATAAAATTTTCGAGCCTATTCAGTCATAATTCGAAGGACAATTATAATAGTCTAACTATAATTAATTAAGTATAGATGTAGAAATAACTAGCGAAGAACAATGTGTTAGAACTCAAGTTGATCTCAGGGTATCGACTCGGGTTTTTTTTTGCTGAAGCCAACACAAAAGTTCTTTTTCTTCAAAATAATCAAATACTGTTTCTACACAAATTATATGAATAAGGAAATTAGTTATGTGTTTTTAGTTAAGGGGATGTTTTTTCAACACAGCTTCTATATCAAGCAATTGAAAAGAGTCAAAAACTTCAGGCTTCGCCCTGATACAAAAAAAACAGTTTTCCCTTAGAGTCTTACAAAAAAGGAAAAAATTTCGAGTATTTGTGCTCAATGTAGCATTTTGTTTTGAATGTTTGACAGAATTTTTGATACAGATGAAAAATATTGATAAAATTAGTAAAAAACGAAAAAAAAATTGTAAAAATCAAAATATGGTCAAATTGTGAAAAAAAAATATAGGAGTTAGAAACAAGACTGCTCGTATATCAGGGCAAAACCCTGAGTGCTCCGACTGTCTCTTATTTCGAATCAAATAGCTTTTACAGAAAAAATATTGAAAAATTCTATAAATTGTAGACAATATCAAGTGTGAAACTCTTTGTCGTACGAAATTAATACGACCAATTAGGTGGCCTCAATTCAATTTGGAACGATTTTATTGTGCGAGATATCTCGCCACGCATAAATAGTTTGCGTTACGCTCTCAGCAATATGAACAAATTCTTCAAAGCACGCTTACTTTAGTCCAGAACTTGGCCAATTTGGAAATTTTTAAACCCCCAGAACTTTGAAAAAAAAAATAATCGGAGGTAAATTATCTTTTTTAATTTGAACCCAGGAAGGCGATATCTTCAATGGGGTAAAAAAATTTTGTTGAAAACTATTAATTCGATCGGCGAAAAATGACTGAAAAATAAAACCGCACCGAGCATAAATGTTCTGTTTTATTCAAAAGTCGAAACAATAACCGGTTGTGCTGACTCGGCCAAATTGAGATGAAAATTGAGGGCCTTTCAGTTTTTTTAAACATGTAGCGTGTAGACAAACTAATAGGAACCAAATATCATTTAAGGAATTTGAAGCTAGCTAGGTGATTGAAGTAAGCGATGAGAAACATTATTCTGATCAGGCACGGATCTATGAATTTCTCGAAGTGGGAGGCGGATTTTCAAAAAAAATTTGAAATTTTTCTCGTCTTTTTTAAAGCCGTTTAAATTGATTTTCTGAGCTCTCACAAATCACTATAAAGACCCTAGATCGACAAAAAATTGCAGTTTTTTAGCGCGCTCACCTCTCAAAATTAGTATATATTGGCGCTAAAGGCTCCTTTAGAAAAATTTTAAGGCCAGCCATTCAAAAATGGATATCTCAAAATAGTACAAAAGGGGGACCCGTTGGGTCGGCAGGGGTCGAATCTTTCAGGGGGAGTAAATTATTTGTATTTTTTTTTCAAAGTTTATCGTTTTTTCGCAGTAATTGTGAGTTCTGTTATTGTAAGTAATAAAAATTTTCAAAGCTTTCCAAACACTCTCGACCATTTATGCTAATGGACACTTAAATAGCTCAACGTTTATAATATGTTCAAAAGCAACCTGAAAAATAAATCAAAGGGCATATTTTCTTTTCAAAACAGATGTTTTTAGATAGCCCAGCCTCCATCAAAAGAAGCAAAGGACACTCTTTCAAACAACTTGAGCTGATTCGTAAAGAAGACAAAAAGATCACGAATCTTCTTCAAATGCCAGTGGTTCCTATTTGTAAGAGTTTATTCTCAATTACTTGAAAAGAGACTCAATATTTACTAATTTATAGTTTGAAAGTATAAACTACCATTTAAAAATTATCCACATCCACGAAAATTTTTTAATGATTGTTTTAGATAAAAGCGAAGAATGTTTGTGCTTGGGGTGGTATTCAGGCCAATTTACCAATTTTGGTAATCGAAAACAACAATTTGGCACGTTTCACCCCACACAAGTTACGCCCCTCTCAAATTTATAGACGTTTCGCTCCTAACTTATTTCACAACTAATTAATCGCTGCATTCAGAATTCAAAATATAAGGCCCGCTGATAGGTTAAACTAACCCGCTACTAAATGAGAGACATATGGAAGGAAGGCGAGTGAGAGAATACCTGCAAAAGATGAAGTTTTTGTTTTTTCTTTTTTTTGTAACTTTACACCAAAAACTGCTTCATTTAAAAGTTCTGTCCTTTTGGGTTCCGCAATGACGCGAGCAGTATTGTTCCCATTAGTGAAAATTTTAGTAAATTAGGGAAACACAGTTCCTGACTTTGTGCGTACTTTTAAGTGGCATATTTGAGGGTGCAGAAACTACTCTTAAAGAGGCTCTTTAAGCGAACAAAACTTCAACGCGTAGTTAATTGAGTCATAATTATTGCACCAAGTCTGAGCTTGAGTAATAAAAATGGCTTCGGCTTTCTTTTCTGTACTCTAATTGGCATGGACATGCTTATTGGTTGTCTCTAACTGCGCGGTGTTCAGCTCACTTGTGACTGTAGACCCGTATTTCATTAGCATACCCAATCTCCAACCGAAGTTATTGAGTTTGTCGAGTTACATCTCAGTTTTGCTACAAAAACTTTTTGTTGTTAGAAGCAAAATGGGCGGTAAAGTCATATTAAATAGTAAGTTTCGTTCTAAATAGCATGTATACTCGAAGTACAAGCTCCCGGGTTGACCTCCTTAGATCAAAAATGCTAATAATACAATTCCACAAACTAAGTCTATGAAAAATTACTATTCATACAAATTTCATACATTTTGCTAAAATGGTGTCATCAAATTTTCGAAGAATTTTTTCTTGTGGAGGCATAAAATTCGGTGTATTGTTGAGTAAAAAAAGATTTCTTGTCAAAATAATGCTAATGATACAACTTCCATATATGGAAATTGTATGACTATCACTTTTTTGATGGTGGCAATAAAAAATTTTCCAAGTAATTTTGAATTTGGCCCCAAAACTTTTAAAAACTTTTTTTTATTTGTATGGCAAGTTTTTTTTGTATGGCATGTTTATGTTTGCCTCGATCAATGTCTGATAAATAAAAATTTCAAAATTTGAAACTACTCAATGTTGAAAATTTTTGCCAAAATTCAAAAGTTTGATAGTGTCTTTACATTATTTGTGTAGGACAGAATTAGGACATTTCAGTCCGTTTCCAATGCATTTTTAATGCGAGACGGTCAAAGTTTTGGCTACTCTACGTTTGACAAACCGAGGTTTTTTTCACTTGTGTTCGGTTACGAACACAACTAAAGAATTTTGAGAAATTAAAATGTAAAAATCAGTATTTTTGCTTTATGGACAAATGCTAGCATACAGTTTCCATATATGAAAAATCACTGGTCATAGACCTTTCATGCAGTTTTCTGTACTTATGGAATTGCATGAAAAAAGTATGACTAGCATTTTTCTATTCACGAAAATTGTATGATTAGCATTTTTGGTCAAACTGGGCTTCTAGAGATTGCTTTTTAGGTATTTTTTTTGGGTGTTAGCGATTGGTCTTACAAGGTTTGGTGGAACGAGTTTTAACGACTAACTTGATACGATCAATTATTATGACCAATTTCTTTTGTCGGGTTTTGTGAGCAGGCCCAAAAGATTTCTGATGCTTTTTTACACAATGAAATTTTACTATAAGCTTTTTGCGTCAATCTGGAGTGAAATAACACGCTTTTTGCCATAAATTTTGCTATACTTGCCAAAACTGTATGAAACTAGAATAATCAAACTTTTTATATTATTAAAAAAATTGTATGACAGGCTTTTTCCATGCTATCATTTTGTATAATAATCATTTTTTCCATAATCAAACTGAAAAAAATATTCTGATTTTTGTTCTGAAATGTTGCGTTTTGTCCAAAACAAACTAAATAAGAGTTTGTACATGAGAAAAAGGAAAGTGTAATGTGCAGCTATCTCGCTGATTATCTGCTTGCGATGATTTTTGCCATGTGAAGTATTGACAGGTCTTCACAGGGAATTATATGCAAAAACGTAACTTTCTGTATAATGCGATGAAGTTTCTACTTAGAAAAAATCATTGGTTAAAAAAAATACTTTTTTGAGAAACATATTTTTATTTGTTCTAGTCAAAGCTGCACTCATTCAACAAAAACTGTCAATATTTTTCTTGAGTTTCAAAATTATTTACGAAAAACTTTGGAGAAAAAAAAATCTATTGAAAAAATCTATACAATTTCCTTCTATGGTTATACTTTGATAAGCATTTTTGTCATAGATTACATATATGAAGTTGTATGATAGGCATTTTCTTGTATAAATGTAAACCCGGGTTGTCGGGGGGAGGGGGGGTAGTACAACTGTGCCGAACTACATTACTGCCAAAAAAAACATGTTTTTCAACCGTACCGAAATTTATTTTGATTTTTTTTACTGATATCAAACCAATGACAAATAACTTCAAATGGACGAAAGTTGAAGAAATAAAAATGGCCAGCAATATTAATTAAGGTTGCTTGGTTAAAAACATTTAAAGACAAAAATTTACTTATTACCGCTTGTTAAAGAAACAAAAGTTCCCCAAGCGTGGCGTCATAAATTTTTCTGAACAAACAATGAAATAGCAAAATTGTCAATTTTTTCACTCGGTTTTGCTTCAACAGTATTTAGGCAAAATTGCCAACAACTCACAAACAGAACTCAATATTTTCAAATATCATCAATTTTTGGCACTGTTAAACACATTTTCAACTTCGGCACTGTTGTAATTCGGCCCTGTTGCCGCCTTTTGACGTAAAAATCGCAGGTGGGGATTAAAAGAGCTTCCGATTAATTCCTTTTGTAGTGCTTCTTCTTCTTGTTCCCACATATTTCGTGATGAGCATGGTAAGTATCCCGGACGCCGAGACAGACATCTCAAAGTGGGCCAATCTGAACTCCAAAGAGGAGCATGCAATACTTCTCAATCCAAAAGCTCTACAATTCAAACGACACCATAAACAAAGCAATTCCAGATGTCTTGATGTTAGTAAACCCAGTTAAAATTTCTAAAAGTTAACATTTCACTGTTGAAAATTCGGGTCCGATCCGGAAATCTGATGGAATCGAACGAAATAAATTTAAGCACTATGTGCTGAAACTGATGTTTAGCTTGCGAGCCAAAAACTGAAATCCAGTGACAATGCGGATTTTGGAGAAAAGGAATAGGAAATTTTTTGGTTTCGACTCCGCATACAAATGTGTTTTTCCATTTGCAGTAAATTGAAGCGAAAGGTCACTGGAACCAATTGTTTGTCAGGGGATTCCGCAATCAATTTGTTCTTTTTGTCGCTGGATTTCACAATTTGTCAGTTGGTTCCGCAATTAATTTGTTTTTGTTTGTCGCTGACTTCCACATGCACAACTTTAACCGTTTGATCTTGTATTGGAACCATTTTTTCATCACTGACAAATTGTGGTTTCACGCAAAATTTAATTGAATCCACTTCATCGGCCAAAATTCGTTTGTTTCCGGAATCCACTGACAAAACGTCCTTGTTGGCATTTTGTGTAGGTATCATTGAAATTTTAAATCACTGAAAAAAGTCTCTAAAACACGCAAAAGTTGTGTCAGTGGAATCCAGACGCAAGAAAGCACAAGTAATAAAACCGAGCTTGGCGTCGTAATATCTAAGAAATTTTTGTTCCGGCAACTTTTTAAGAAAGTGACGGAATATTTGTGCTCGAGATAGGTTTTTCTCCAGAACGAAATCGATAATTTATATAGCCATTTCAGCAGAATCTTTTGAACCATCCAAAAAAAATATTAAGATATTGTTATCGGGGTTATTTTCAGAAAAAAGTTTGGAGATGATTTTCCATGAATTTTCTGGGTAGTATATTCGTGCAATGGCCTTCCAATATGAAAACGATAAAAAAAAGTCAGCATAGAGATAATTTATGTTGAAAAAGTTGCAAGGTTTAAACACCGATCCAAGAATTACAAACCCTAAAATGTGAATTCCTAAGTAACAAAATGTAGGTAGTGAAATTGTAAGGTATTGTGCTGCTTGATTTAAAATTACAAAATCTTACAATTAAAAAACAGCCAGTTAAAAACAGTGCCTTTTAATACCTGGTGGTTGCACTACTAAATAACTTAAAATCCCAAAAGTGTAACTCCTGCTTTATAATCAAAAAAATTAATTCTGTGTGAGCTCCTTATTTTCATTCCTGTCATTTCAAAATTGTTTCTGAAATTACCTTGACAAACTTGTTTTTACCTCAATTTTACTTGCTAAAATGAGGCTTCCTAAAAACAATGACTCTTATCTAAAAGTTTGTAATTTTTCATACTTTGATTTTTAATTAAAATTACACAACTAATGAAAAAAAACTGCTTGTGATAATTCATTAGACTTTGACATATTGTTTTCGACAAACCTTAAAATCTGACAATCATTATCTTTAGTACTCAAGTCATACTTTCAGAAATTTTCAAACCACTGCACACACAAGCAAGCAGCCGGGCGTAAATATGCCACCCATCCCCGTTGTGCAAAAGTTCTAGCTTCCTGAATTTTAGGCGAATTTGTTCTTTTTGTCGCTGGATTTCACAATTTGTCAGTTGGTTCCGCAATTAATTTGTTTTTGTTTGTCGCTGACTTCCACATGCACAACTTTAACCGTTTTATCTTGTATTGGAACCATTTTTTCATCACTGACAAATTGTGGTTTCAAGCAAAATTTAATTGAATCCACTTCATCGGCCAAAATTCGTTTGTTTCCGGAATCCACTGACAAAACGTCCTTGTTGGCATTTTGTGTAGGTATCATTGAAATTTTGAATCACTGAAAAAAGTCTCTAAAAGACGCGAAAGTTGTGTCAGTGGAATCCAGACGCAAGAAAGCACAAATATGTGCTTAGTAATAAAACCGAGCTTGGCGTCGTAATATCTAAGAAATTTTTGTTCCGGCAACTTTTTAAGAAAGTGACGGAATATTTGTGCTCGAGATAGGTTTTTCTCCAGACCGAAATCGATAATTTAACTAGCCATTTCAGCAGAATTTTTTGAACCATCCGAAAAAATTATTAAGATATTGTTATCCTGAGCTCAAATTTTTAAAAATATTTTACCTGTGAGTTTTTTTAACTTTGGGATTTCGAGATTGGAAATTGAGCTAAATTTGGAGTAATTAACGCGCGATGAATTTTGTGCTAGTAACGAGTACGCGGACAGCTGATCCCTATTAGAAATTGTTTCAATTTGAGTCGAGGCGTGCTAATTCGTCTATTTATTACTCTTCTAGATGCTAAACTTATCCATTCATAGCGTGTAGGGGTTTCTTTGAAAAAAAGTTAGATGAAAATGTTTTTGAAATATTCATCACTGTTTTCAAAGCGAACACTGCTCCATAAACCTTAGAAGGCAATCGGAATATTCAGGGCTTTGCCCTGATACTAGAACTTTTGTTTGCAATTTTTTTTCAACTGAGATGCAGAGCGATCAGTTATTCAGTTTTCTGTCTGCCTTTGAACGTAGCACAAAACTTGAAGATGCAAATTTCTTTAGCATTGTGTTATTTAGAAGATGAATGACTTGCGCAATTTCACAGTGCTGATAAACGTTATTAGGACCCAAAAAGTGTAAAGCTGTGATCAATTCCATTTCTTCTTTGTCCATGTCTTCCAATTCCATGGGCTAAAACATAGCTCATTTTGTAACTAAATTTTAAAAGATTTGTTTAATGATGCCGCTGGCGTCTCAATCATCTAAAAAAATTTTGGGGTAAACGTGATAAATTTTGGTTCGAGAAAATTAGATTTTTGTTGTAATTTTTCCACACGCAATGTAAAACGAACAAAAAGTTGCAAAGCATGTGAATTTTTTCAATTTTTTGTATTAACTGACAAAAACTTAATTGCTGGTTCTTTAATACAGACAAGTTTGAACAAAACAAAAAAATTTACACTTTCAAAGAGGTTTATATTCTAGACACTCAAGGTTTTGTTATTGAAATTATTTCTGCTATCAGGGTTACATCAAAGAACTTAGATGACGGTTACAATATACATACACACAACACACACGCAAACACACACACAGACACACACACACACACATACATACATACATATATGCCTATGCTTTTTTTGATTGTCAACTACCCTAATAGTTTCCTTTTTCTAAGACCAGACTGTTTAGACATAAGTTAACTATACTATTAACATAAAGATCGGCTCCTAATTAAATTTTCCAGTTTAGCTGAATTTTTTTTTGAATTAAGCTTGTCAAGCATTCTGTTCTTTGTTTAAATTAACTGACTAATAAAACTTTTTTTTATGAATATTTGAGTTTTGATGGCGTTTTGGTGTTTTTTTTTGGTCGAGTTAATCTAAATCTTTAAAATCAACAAATAATTGTTTCGGGGTGTTTTCAGAAAAAAGTTTGGAGATGATTTTCCATGGATTTTCTGGGTAGTATATTCCTGCAATGGCCTTCCAATATAATAACGATAAAAAAAGTCAGCATAGAGACAATTTATGTTGAAAAAGTTGCAAGGTTTAAACACCGATCCAAGAATTACAAACCCTAAAATGTGAATTCCTAAGTAACAAAATGTAGGTAGTGAAATTTTAGGTATTGTGCTGCTTGATTTAAAATTACAAAATCTTACGATTAAAAAACAGCCAGTTAAAAACAGTGCGTTTTAATACCTGGTGGTTGCACTACTAAATAACTTAAAATCCCAACAGTGTAACTCCTGCTTTATAATAAAAAAAATTAATTCTGTGTGAGCTCCTTATTTTCATTCCTGTCATATCAAAATTGTTTCTGCAATTACCTTGACAAATTTGTTTTACCCCAATTTTACTTGCTAAAATGAGGCTTCCTAAAAACAATGAATCTTATCTAAATGTTTGTAATTTTTTATACTTTGATTTTTAATTAAAATTACATAACTAATGAAAACAAAAAACTGCTTATGATAATTCATTAGACTTTGACATATTGTTTTCGACAAACCTTAAAATCTGACAATCATTATCTTTAGTACTCAAGTCATACTTTCAGACATTTTCAAACCACTGCACACATAAGCAAGCAGCCGGGCGTAAATTTGCCACCCATCCCCGTTGTGCAAAAGTTCTAGCTTCCTGAATTTTAGGCGAATTTGTTCTTTTTGTCGCTGGATTTCACAATTTGTCAGTTGATTCCGCAATTAATTTGTTTTTGTTTGTCGCTGACTTCCACATGCACAACTTTAACCGTTTGATCTTGTATTGAAACCATTTTTTCATCACTGACAAATTGTGGTTTCAAGCTAAATTTAATTGAATCCACTTCATCGGCCAAAATTCGTTTGTTTCCGGAATCCACTGACAAAACGTCCTTGTTGGCATTTTGTGTAGGTATCATTGAAATTTTAAATCACTGAAAAAAGTCTCTAAAACACGCAAAAGCTGTGTCAGTGGAATCCAGATGCAAGAAAGCACAAATATGTACTTAGTAACAAAACCCCTACGAAACAAAAGACGAATTAGCGTTGGCCTCACAAATGCTACGTTCTCTTTTCATCAAAAAAAAGAAAAGATAGTGGAGTCCTTTTATGTGACTGTTCAAGACAAACATAATGTGTGCCACAAAAAAGTTAAGAACACGAAAACAACACTACTTATGATTTTTTCAGTTCTTTTCGAAAAAATGTTTCCTTGCAGACTCTTGGAAGACGTACTCAGCGCATGACTGAAACTCGTGCACTGAAACATCTGTACTGGGTAAAATTTTCTGGAAAAGCACGCCAATGTTATTCAAGGAACGTTTAGTTATTTTGAGATTTTTGAATGTCATTGAAAAATTGCTTTTTTTGATTGGCATCATTTTAACATTCTGAAAGTCCATTGCATGCTCATTTTTAAATCAAAACATACACAATTTTAGTAGCGCAAAACGGTCTGGTTTTGAATGGAATTACTCTTTGAAGTTTAGAAATCCACAACATTAAGTACCCAAACCAATACGGTTTTCGGAAAAATTTTATTATATTGTGCAGTATTTTTTCGAAAATGCATGGTTAACCATCATAAATCCACGCAGCCTTATCCGATTTTTCAATGACATTTATTTCAATTGTTTGTGACATTTTGATTGATAAATTGGAACAGATTAGAGTTTCAGATTAAACTACAGCGTTAATAGCAAACGTATTATCGAAAAGTACCCAACGTCATGCTTGTAATTATCGTGTGCCCTTTTTATTCAAATTATTCAAAATTGAAACTAGGTTTAAATTATATAATGAAATCAATTTAAAACTGAGTGCCGGCGGCAAAAAAGTCTCGGCCTTAGCTTTATCATACCTCCATAAGTCACTGGATAGACAACCTGCATTTTTTGGAGCCATGAATTTATGCTGAACATTTGAAATAAAAAACGTCTACACTTCGTTTTGCAAAATAATTCACGTTTATCATGAAAAGTGTTTGCTAATTGTTGAAAATACATTATTAACACAAACCTGCTTTGAAAACATTTATCGTATGTTTTGTTGTCAGTGAGTTTGATTACCCATGTTTGTTTTTCTACATTGTTAACGGGTCGCTTATTAATCCTCTGGAAAAGCAGTTGAAGTGAGTAATCAGACAATTTTTTTTATGATCTCGCAGCAAATCATCGTGTCTTATTTGAAGACCAGAGACTATTTTCAAAAACCGTAGCTCAACTAAAAATGCTTTTCTGCGCAAATTTTTCTTCCACATCGCTGCTATAAAATAGACTTCACGTGACAAATGATCTCGAAGTTGTGATTTCAAGACAATCACACTAAAACATATATTCGTGCTGGGGTGAATTCTGCTTGACCTAATATATATATTTTTTCAATTTATACAACGCTTCGTCAATAAATTTTCTCACACATGAAACCATGTTTAAATTGTAACGTTTTTTTTTTTGTAATCCATAGGTTTTGACCCTTGGCGCGCTTACATAAATTACGTTTTCACCCTCTCTCTCTCTCTCTCTCTCTCTCTCTCTCTCTATTTGCCGTAGTCCTTTTTGAACTAGTTTTTTTTCCATTTCGGATTAAAACGGTGTTAAGTTATAGAATGGTTTTAAAATGTAGCAATTTTAGCTTGCTAGGGTTACAAGAAATAGGTAAGAAAATTGTAAGACGTTAACTCGCTTTGAGTTTAAAATGTGGAAACCATAGCCAAAGTTTTTGCTCCGAGTGCTAAAAAGTGACTGAGTATTTTTTCAAAGTTGATTTTAGAACGAGGACATAGAGGAGGGGGACGGTGGCAATGAGGACGACACCAAAAGAAGGAGTTGCGGGACCCGGCACTCCCACTGTTCCAGTTCATTGCCATGCTGTGGGTCACTGCAGTGCAAATATGTTATCCCTTTCTCAACTTCCAAACTCTGCACCACATCCCCATAAAACCAAAAAAAAACTATAGCAATCACTTTCGATTTTATCACATATCCTAATCAATAAATATATCGCAAAGCCTGATGAAAAAATTAATGGATGAAAAGATTAATGCAAATAAAAACGTTTCGACGAGGCTGTTTTCAGATGTTCAGAAAGCTATTTGTTATTACAGAAAAATGATTTCACTAAACATATTTCGCGACGAGTTGAAAAAAATGTTTGGCGCAAACTAAAAAAAGCGATTAATTTTCAAAAATCTCATGAAGACGTTATTTCAAAAAGCTGTGACAGATTTCGTCCCAGACAGATTTCGTCCCATTTCAAAGCGTACACAGATTTCGATCCCACAAATTTGGACATGGGACGAAATCTGTTAATTAAATAAATAGGACGAAATCTGTGCCAATTTTTTCAAAAACAAGGAGCTGAAAGTCTATAAAATTTTTCTGAATTTCAATCAGTTTTTATTCATGGATGATATTTTTCAATATCTTGGAAACTGATGCAATTAAATTAGTTCTTGTAAAATTAACGAACACAAATTAAACAAAATTTCAAGTGCATTATCAAATTGTGATTGAATTATATCCGAAAAAAAAACATCTTGTTCGTTTAAGTAACTTCCAAGCAAAAAATCAGATATCTAAGTTGATTTTAGCGCAAAGACTGCCAATTTCTACCGAATACGACTTTGTTAGCAATAGAAAAACCGATTTGTGTCGTTTTTAAGCATTTCCTTGGAATTTGATTTAAAAATTGCGGTTCTTATCCTCCAAAAAATATAAGAGCTTTATGGCTCCAAAGGCTCGCTAAAAGCTCTACGCTAGCATGTCAGAATTGGGTTTACTCAAATAGAACTAAATTCGACTTTTCGGGTAATGATGGCAACCAGGTTTTTGAGAAGGTTCTCTCCTTCGGCAAGCTTTTGTTGAGATTTAAACATAAATCTACCCGATACCAGTTTACCCTATGCCATTCTACCCTATACTAATCTACCCTGTATTCCAATTTACCCTATGCTCTATAAATAGTTCAACTAGTCAGAGATAACGGAGCTTTCTATATTGGTTTAAGGTCGCCTATGAGCGCGCGCTATAACGCTTCGCGGTGATAACCAGCTCTAATTTTCGTATAGAGTCCTACCATCTGTAGGCAAGCTCAAAACACGTTGGCACGACTGCGGCAATCACTATTTTGCTGTTATTATTCCGTCTTGATTTAGGCGTAGGGTAAATTGGCGTAGAGTAGATTGGCATAAGGTAAATTTATACATAGGGTAGAATGGCATAGGGTAAAATGGAATAGGGTAAATTCGAATAGGGTAAGTTGTCCTGCCACCATGAAATCATTTTAGGTAACTAAAATCTCGAAACTTTTGTAATTACACAACGGTAATAGGATGCGCAGAGTTTATTATTACTTTTCATCAATATTTTAAAGCATCAATTACACATTTTTCGAACATCTTCATTTCAATTAAAACCTATATAAATATGTAATAATTATATTTGTTATATTGTTACATTTGAAAGCTTATCATTACTTTTCACTTTTCATCAATACTTTAAAACATAATTTACATAAATCTCAAATTTTTTCATTTCAGTTACAAGCTGTCTAAGAAGACCCTCAACATTAACGTTCCCAAAAACAATTCTTTTGTATTTTATATCTATTCAATTTCACTAGTGTTGACGAAGCAAGCTTTAAATGAAAGCAATATTCAAATGACTTCAAGCTCCCCGGGTTGAGTATCCTACAAAAAAATTCCCTATCTTAGAACTTCTTGTAAGATTTGTAGGAAGTTTCCGCTATCTTACAACTTTTTTTTATAAAAGTTGCATTATAGCAACTTTTTCCCCTTACCAAAAAAAAACAAATAAAACATTTTGAATTTTTTTCTACACCGTAATAAAAAAATTAAAATAAGTTCTGGTAAATTTTAAATTTTTTCATTTTTATACTTGTAAAAGTTTTAAGATAGTAATTGTAATGTATGCATTTCGATCAAAAAATTTCGAACCACTTTTTTTTCAATAAACTTCCAGACTATACGTAATTAGCGATTGAAACGCATTTGGAGATATCACAAAATCAACTTTGACGAATCTTGTGGTAGAACGTTGGACGTGTTCTATGTGAGGTTCAGGTTTTTACACACGAAAATTCTACAAATCGGCAAAAAGATAATTCTGTAAAATTTAGTGGTTTTTCGGTAAAATAATGTAGCAAAACAAGATTCTTGGGATACGCACTTCTGTTATTGTATTCTGCGACTGTGGGGAACTTTCAATGAATGTGGTTGTAAGAAACTTTGTCAAAAAATAACAATAATCATAATTTACAAAATAGGAAAGTTTTTGCAGGAAAAGCTCCTATCTTACACTTTCTATTTTCCTGTAAGAAGAATCACAATTTTAAAAACTTTCTTCAAAAAAACTTACAACATCAGACATTTGTTGTTGTTTTTGGTTTAAAAAAAAACATTATTGATCTGATTTTTGAATCAAGGCCGAAAAATCTGATGAAAGTTTCATGGAACTTCATGGAAAACATCATGGACGTAAAGCCACAAAAATTGAACCATTTTCTATTGATAAATTTGTTCACGTTCAGTTTCCCAGCATTACGTGTTTCGTCTATCAAACTCAAACAGAAGACAAGACATGGAGTGAAAAAATTTGGACGAGATAAACTTCAGCAGCAATTGATTTGATCGAGCGGTTGAAACAAAATCTAAAGCCCAGATTCGACACACACTCCCATGCCGGGTTGACAGTAAAGAGGTCCCCTCATTGTACTATTTTGAGACATCCATTTTTGGTGACAGATCCAAAAAATTTCTAAAGGCGCATTTGGCGCCAATATATAATAATTTTGAGGAGAGAGCGCGAGCCGAAAAAACGCAAATTTTGGTCAAAATTTTCAAGGAAGTGCCTAAAAACGGCATTTTGACCTCTTTTCTCAAAAATTTTGCCTGCGGCCCAGAAAATTTAGCCACAACAGGTTTTTTTAGTGCTTTGGGAGAACTCGACAATCAATTTGGTCGACCTAATAAAAAAGATCGACAAATTTTCGAAAACTTTTGAAAATCCCCCCCCCCTCCAGAAAATTCTAGATCCACTTCTACTTCATGCACTGGAAACACAATTTTGTAGGGTTAAATTCATATGAAAGCTTTACCACTATCAATTTATCCATACTGTGAAATTGTTTCATATAAAATTCCCAAAAGTTTGAAATAGCATGATTAGGTACTATTTACAAAAATATATATTTATATAACTTGAGTGTAGTGAATTCTGTAGACTGTTAAATAGTGTTACTTGCATATTACCTAAAATTTTACAACGTTGAAAGTCCTCTCATTTAATTAATTAATTTGGCCCATGTGAACAGTCTCCTCTCTGAAAAGGCCAAGTGAACAATCTCCCCTCAAAATTAATTGGCAAATTCATGCAGTAAGGCCATAATGTACTATGCTCAAATCTTATTGGCTGAAAAACGTTACTTTCAACCAAGTGAACTACTTTATCCCAAATATGATTAGGGAGAGATTGTTCACGTGGTCCACTAACTTCTTGCTAATTTAAGAGATAGAAACTTTTTATTTCAAAATTCTTATGAAAATGGGTGGCTACCCTTTTGTTATGTTGCTGTCAATCCGTTAGACCGCAATGAGTAGAGCTGCTCAAAAGTTTTGTGTTAAAAGTTTTACAGAAATCTTCAGAGAGAACCAGTTGAATATTTTTGAAAATGATTTTTTTTACTTGCAAACAAATATTGAATTAACTCCTGCTCACGGGCTGATTTAGAGGGCAGGGGGTCTGGCGGGGCGGAGGGTGAGTTTGGACGCTCCTTTTTCAGAGATTTGACCCCTTCACCAACCAAAGGTCCCATTTGGTATTGTTTTATGACTTCCACTTTAGGCCGACCAACCCTAAATTTTTCTAAAGGCGCGTTTGGCGCCAATACAAACTATTTTTGAAGTGGGCTCGCGCCAAAAAAAAACGCATATTTTTGGTCACAATTTTCCAAGTAGTGGTTAGAAACGGCTTTTATGACCTTTTAAAACAATTTTGCCACCTGCGCAGATAATTGATTAACAAATAGGGTCTTTTTAGTGATTTGTGAAAACTCGGAAAATAATTTTGGTCGACTTAAACAAAAAACGTCCACAAAGTTTTCGAAGTTTTTTGAAAATCTGTTCTCCCTCGAAAAAATCCTAGATCCGCCCCTGCTCTTGATGAAACTTTATGTCGCAGCAGATTTATCTCGCAGCAAATAATACAGGAAGCTGTTGGATCAATTTTGACCCAATGTGTAGTGTTATTGCTGTTAAAATGACAGAAAAAAGAGATGTGCTTCCAGTTTTGAAAGCGCTTGACTAATTCGGCAAGGTCATCAATTCTTCAACAATTCGTTTTGCAATTATTGCTAAGCAACAATTCGTTTTGGGCAAAAAACTCTGCGATAAATATCGCTTCTTAAAATTCTGTAAATTATCGCTTGCAAAAAAGTTATCGCTTGTGATGAGTTGTCGCTTCAAGACTAAACCAGTCATCACAAATTTGTTTGTTTATGCATAACTAGTATCTTGGTTGTCGTTAGTCATGAACTTGAATGGTCAATTTTAAGTGGTTCATGAAAAATAAAAAAGTACTTCAGAAAACCCGGAAGAATATAGTTGGGATTTATAACGGCTTAGCTTCAGCAATGACGGGTTTAAAGTACGTTAACGATATGTGAATGCTCTCCAATCGACAAATATCGATCATCATCTATCTTTTACTTTTTTAATCGATGTGCGACAACTTGATTTTGTGTCACATTCGGCACATTGAATCTTGCCATATTCATTCTGAAACATTGAATCTGGTCAAACAATTGCAAAATCTGGAAGTGCAATGTCTATAAAAAATACAAATTGAGCGAAGACGTTACTTTTGATAACAAAAAAAAATGAAATCTTTTTTTTAGAAATTATTTCAATTCTTTTCGGTTTATTTGCGAAGACTGTCGAAAGTCTGTCCCAAAATTTTTGTGAATGAGGCAAGTAGATAGATCTATAAATTTTTTTTTCTAAAAAAAACGCAAATCATATCAACAAGATTCTAAGAGCGCATTTGATCTTCCGTTATAATTTACTTCAATTTACTTAATTCAGTCGTTGTTCCGGCCAATTTAAAAATGGTGTGGAATTTTGTATTTAGGTTTGTTTTATTTTTTTAAATTTTTTTTCACGCAAAATCAGCCACCACAATTAATCATGGGAGAAAATTGAGTGATATAACAAACAAAAGTGCTTTCAGTCGTGATTCGATTGAGATAAAAAAAACTTTGAATAATTTTTTCCAGTGTCGAGAAAAACCGGAATTTTTTTTTTGACTTTTCGTCTAATTTCGAGCGAGTACAGTAAGCGAGAACAGCGAGCGAGCACGCTTATTTATGCTAATTTTATGGCGTTTACAATAGCTAATTATGCATAATTATTATGCAAAGAATCTAGTAAATTTAGTTTTTGGAGACTGTTAATGCCATTTTGGGAATCGAAAACTTCAAAAAAATTCACCTGAAAAAAATTAGAAATTATTTGGGTTTTTTTGTTTTGATTCTTCAAAAACTGTTTTCCTTTTTGCCTATGTTGCTATGACTGGCAATTATGCCAAAATTATAAATTTATGTCAGATCCTTTTATCACACCACGCAGAAAAAACCACACTAGTTTGAAAAAAGATAAAAGAGTTTTAAGGACTATGGTCGTATATATCAAGCCTCGAGTTGGGTTTTCTACGGAAAATCAAGTACAGCAAAACAAACTTTGTAAGAAATCAAATTAAATCAAAGTAGAGTTCTTCATTAAATCAAATAAATCAAATTATAATTCATAACTCAGAGTTTGAAAAACAACAAAAACTGCTGCCAGAAAATTTTATGCCAGTTGCTTAATATCCGGTTGTTTTGTTTCTTTTTTGATTGCAGAAAATAAGGAGTTTTTCATTTTAAGTCTTTCTTTGGTGCTTGGCATATATGTAAATTGTATTGCAATAAAGTCTTAGGCTTTCAAAAAAAATTTGCTGTTTTTTGTTGGCAACCTGATCAAGACCTGATTTCGCCCTGATCAAGAAGGTAAAGTTCAAGATGAAAAAAAATTTTTGACAAAAATATTTGTACAGCAATTAATTTACCTTAAGATCTAAAATATTTTATAAAACACAAAATTTATTATGCAAACCACAAACACTTTGCTGAATTTTTTAAGTTTATTGTAAGTCCGTCAATTCAAATTTTTTGTTCTGATCAGTCCGTCAATTTAAGGAAGGCTTCACTTGCCACCATGAGTTATTTGAAAAACCGACAAAACTACTTTACATTTTTTGCTTGCTAAGCAAAAACTTGCTTATTTGGATCTGATACTAGTTAATTTCAATCATTGATCCCATTTTTGAAAGAAGGGATGGAATATCTGTGATCGTATGATTTTTATTCTGATTTTTGAAATAATAGCAAAAATTTGTGCTCTTACTTGAGAAAAGACTTGAGAAAATTGAGTGCTCTTACTTGAGAAAAGACTTGAGAAAATTGAGTGATATAACAAACAAAAGTGCTTTCAGTCGTGATTCGATTGAGATAAAAAAAACTTTGAATAATTTTCTCCAGTGTCGAGAAAAACCGGAATTTTTTTTTTGACTTTTCGTCTAAATTCGAGCGAGTACAGAGCGACTTGAGAAATTTGTGCTCTTACTCAAGTCTTTGCTCCAATTTTGAAAAAAAAAGAACCAAATATTAGTTCTCGGAAATTTTTTTTTCTCCAAACTATATCCGACATTCAGATCAACCATTTTTGACAAAAATTTTGAAGATAATCTGATGGCAAGTTATGTCCTTGCTTAAATTTAAGAAAGCAATTACTTGTGATTTTATTATGAAGTTTTGAAAATTGCCATTTTGACGTTTGGAATAATTAACGCGCGATGTATTCTATGTATACAAAGCGAAAGCGGCAATTTGATCTGCGTCAGACCTGGTTCCATTTGATTTGAGGCATTGCCTTTTATAATTTTTACGCTAATATGTGCTCAGCTTTTTCACGTTTAACTTAAATAACGTGGGTCGGATAGTAAAAAAAGTTCACAAACTTTTACATCGGAGCTTACACAGACAAATGTAACATGCACAGACATAAACATTGAGATATCAAAATCTTGAGCTCAATTTCAAAATTAATTTCTACCTGTAATCATTTTTCATAAAGTTATGGTGAATTGAAATAAGCTAATTTAACGAATTTTGAAACGTTAACACTTGTTATCTAGCGTTCAATAACGAGTAAGCGTTGAAGTAATCCGCCTTGAAAAAGGTCTCAAATCGAACTGAGGCAGGCTATTCTGATCAGTCCTTTGTATCACTTTGTACATTTTCATATATCTTCGTATAACGTGTGGGGGATCATTTTCAAAACAAATCCTCACAAAAAAGATAAAATCAATCTTTTTTATCTTTTTTTTTTTCAAATTTGTCCATATCTTTTTTAAAAGCTTTTGAAAAGACGTTAAAGGTCGGTCAAAACATTCTGAGTTTCGTCCTGATATGAGCAATCTTGTTGGCATTCCTCAATAAAAGCATATGAAAAACCGGCTCTACCAAAAAATGGCAACGTTGTTTTCACGCTTAGTGGTTTTTCCGATTTTTGACTCGTTTTTGTTGGTACCATGGAGCTGTTTTGTACCAACAGGGGGAAACACTCGTCATACTTTTATTTGTTGATCTGTTTGTTTTTATTTGTTGATCTTTTGTTTTCACATTGACAACAGGTGATTTTCCTCTGCTACCAATACGAGATGAATGTAATTTTTGGCTCCTATTTTGTGCTTTTTCTGAAACAGCTGCCGTTCCTTAGCAACATTTGTGCTTTTTCCGCTTGATTTCATTTTACTTCTTTCTCCTGACAATTTCTGCCTTTTTGAAAAAACACCAAGTGGTTGGTATTAAATCATCCAAACGTGCTGTAGAAAATTGAAATAGCAAATATCAAGAAAACCGACGAATTTCAAAAACAAAGTTCAATTCTAATCTGAACTAGCTCGGGTTTTTGACTAGATTGGGAATTCTGTATTTTAAAAATGGAGCATTTCGCCAAACTTGTCCGCTTTGCTTTGGCTCTTTTTTTGTTCCTGGCTTTCAACTACTACAAGGTAAGTTTATCAGTTTTAATCTTTATGACTATCATGAGCTAATGTTGATTCATGAGACTATCATGTAGGTTTATGAGGGGGGGGGGGGGGGGGGGGTCTCAAGGGGCTTTGCAAGATTAAGCGTTGCTTCCATTCTTCTTTTCAAGATTTTGATATTGACTCGGTTACCATACAATAATATTTTTGACAATAATATATCTTGGAATTTTAATGATGATAACAATAATAAGTTGTAACCCTTATACCGTAGAACAAGGCTTTTTTTAGCTTCTGAGGAGAAACTTGGGATGGATAAACTTACCTTCTCCCCCTCCCCTCTCTCTCTCTCTCACCGCAACAAAAGAGACTGCAAGTGAGTCTTATTTGTTTGTTTCAGACTGCGGTGGAAGGACAGTCCATAACTCAGCCGCAGTGTTCGGGGGACCCCGACGACCCTAATGATTTCGTGGAGACTGCGAACCCCTACTCCAACGACCAGGACGGATGCGCATGTCACTCCAACTCAACTACTCTTGGACCATACTGCTACTGTCTTGTGGGATACGGGGAGTTGGTGTCAACCTTTAACTGTACAAGTAGGTTTCAAAAAATGTCTTCAGCAGATAGCGCGAATTTCCCTTCGTTCAAACGTTTCGTTTCCCAAAACTATTGAAATATTGCACTTGAAGCATTTGGCTAACTTTATTTTTTCTGTTTGAATAATAAATGGAAGCATGAATTTGCTCAAAAGTCGAATCCAGTCAGATTTTGGGTAGAGTCATTTGAAGATTTTTGGTAATGATTTGTTTTATTTTGGGCGCTCAGAAAATTATTGAAAAATACGGTAATTTGCCATTTTACGGTAGCTTATTATCAAAGATCAATTTGAAAATTTCCGTCGTATGAAATTAATGCGACCAATTAGCTAGTCTCAATTCAATTCGAAATGATTGTGTTGTGGGGGATAACTTCCACGCATAAATATTTCCCGTCAGGGTTATGGATAAATCTTTTCAAAGTACGCGTAAATTAATCCAGAGCATGGCCAAATTGGCAATTCCCTAACTCCCAAAAATTTTTAAAAAAAGTTGGAGGTAAAATATCTTTTAACATTTGATTTCAGGGAGCCGATATCTTCATTGGGGTAAAAAAAAATTTGTGTAAAATTTTTTTTTCAATCGCCGAAAACTGACTGAAAAAAACCACACCAAGCATTCTTCGAAAGTCGGAACAATAGTAAACATTTGCTCCATCGTGTTTTGCTAAATTTAACTGAACTGGTGTTTATTAGGAACTTGTTATACTGCCGGCTCTGGATGCAAAAAGCCAGACGGAACAACTGATTGCGTTGCAACTACCTACGCAGCTGCAGTGGTTGAAGGCTGCCTGTGTGGACCAGGGTTTATTCGAAGCATCACCGGCGGTGCATGTACAGCTATCTCCGGTCTAGGCAAGTAACAGCAACCAATAAAACTTTGGGCAGAAATCCTAAAAGAAATTATTTGCCTGCCATTCAGCAAATTTGTCTGTCCTAATTATCAGACGATCAGACGATCAGACAATAGTATTTAGTTTCCTAATGAAAAAAAATATTCAAAACCATTTCTAGAATACAATGAAAAAAATTGATTTTTTTGTTAAAAATCCATTTTTTTAGAGAACATGTATAATTTACAATAGCATCAAAAATGCCTAAAATCTAGGCTTTCATTTAGATTCTCTGGTCAAACCACGAGCAAAAAACGACAAATTTTTCAAAAAGAGCATGGTTTTTATGAAAAAAGACAATGTTTTTTAATAGTTTTGATTATTGTGGTTGGATTTTTCTCTTCTTCTTGCACAGAAAAATGTTTTTTTATAGAAAAAAAACTGATAACTCCACAAGCTTAAGCCTTATGTTAATTTAGTGAATGACAAGGAGACGGGTCTGATCTGTACAAAGAGTTAGAAAATAAGCAAAATAAACAAAAAGAAGTCTTTTTGGTGGGTAATTGAACAAATAGGGCGGTAAACGATTAAATGTTGCATCACATACTGGCCTTCAAATCGAACGAAAAACAGTCTAACTGCTGAAATAAGTAGAGATTTATAATGCGACTAATAAATTTCATCTAATTCGGCACCTTGTTTCTGTTGTGATTGCTTTACTGTCTCTTAAAATTGCTTTTAAAGTTTTCTGTCTGGATTAAACTCGTCACCCTTTCATTCATCGTTTTCTTTTATAACTGCGCTTGCAATGAGGAAAAAGTTGTTTTTAGAAGTCTTATTCAATTCTCTGGCTTATTTACCTAGCTAGCCAGTTGAAAAATAAAGGATTACAGGACAATTACAAAAACATTGACAAAAATATTGAAAAACTACAGGACATTTATAAACCAAAGCACTCAACAATATGTATTAGCACCAAAATTGCATATTTACCATTTTTAAATTTTGTTGTTTCAATGCGTAAAAAAATTTGGCTAATAATACTGAATCATCTTGATTTGTTGTTTCATTACTTGCGGAGTTAAACAAAGAAAAAAAAGCTTATTAGCAATCAATACGAGCTGAGCATAAACAAACAAATTCGCGTTGTTTGAGAATTTGACTTTAACCCCAATTACTATCAGGTAAGGTAGTTTTTTGGGACATGTATTTTTGCTTTTTTTTCTGCGTTTTCGATTGAAATCTAAATTGGCGTTTTTTACCGCGTTTTTCCTAAAAATGTCGGAAACCTACTGTTTTTAAGACAATAACAGTAATCAAGATGGCAATTTTAAACATTTCTCAGTACTTATTTTTACAAACCGCTTAATACAATTTTCCGATTCATTTCTGAGAAATGGAACCTAAAAAATCTCGAACATTTATGTCAGCGGGTTATTACTCTTTTATTCTCAATTCGGTGGAATGTCACAAAACCTAACACAAAATAATTTCAATCCTAGAAGGCAGAATTTTTTCGATTATCCAACAATTTTTTTTGTTCCCTGATAGCCAAAAAAAATCGATTCGCTCGAAGCCAAAACTCAAACGCTGACAACTTTAAATAGTCGTATCATCTGTAATAAAAAAAACTGGTATAGTCCACAAAAAATTTTCTATTATAGCCCCCTCCTCCAAGTAAATTAAAGACCCTCAATTACAAACTCTGTGTTGGGGGAGGGCAAAGCTTCAGGATCTTGTTAACTATTTCCCCCTTGTAACGTATATCCCACCAATGTAAAGAAAGAAATGAACAGCTAAGCATATACGAGTTTTGTATCATTGTAACTATTTCTCCCCATATTGCAATAGGGGGGAATAGTTATCAAAATCCAAGCTTCAAGAAGTCCATAACTCTATCAATATTTTTATTGGATCGACTAAGTTTGAGCTACTTCAAAACGCTCAAATTGAGCTACTTCATAAATCTTAATTTCGACAAAACTTACTGCGACATAGCAAATTTTTTAAAAAAGTGGCAAAAAATTCAAGTGTTATGAACATTTTGGCTCGTGCGACCCGCGTCCATCTCAATACTCTTGTTATACATTGCTCTTTCTTATTAATAGCCGAGAAAAATGTATTATCGGATAGCCGAAAAAAAATGTTGCGTAATAAAGTAGTTGCCTTATTTTTGCTACCTAAATTGATGAAAACAAAGCTATTACACAAAAAAGTATTCATAGTCTATTGCGTTTTTGTTAGCTTTGTTCCGAAAAAAAATTATAAAAATATAATTTTATTGCTTTAATAAAATTAGTCCATGTTTTTTGACGAACTTGGTTTATTAGTTATATTTTGCTTTGTTGCTGATTACTTGAACAATTTAAGAGATTTTTAGTTTTTTGGCTATCCGGGAATGCGGCTCTGTGAGTACGCACCCACAATTCGTTTTGATCGATTGAAATGGAAGTTGAAAATGTTGCTCCAAAAGTAATCCTACCTAAAACTAATGCACCTGTCGCTGGTTTATGTACCATGTTCCTTTTGTTAGTTTACGCTTCACTGGCTCGCGTTCCGATGGAACTACAGTGCGTGCAGTTCTCTTCAAAGAGTTGGAACTCAAAATTGTTTTTGTAGCAAAAACGTGTTAAAAATTAGCAAATCGACGGCGTTTTAATTCACTGGATTTTTTTTTTCAGCTGACGGACAGTGTGATCCTAGTCGGGACTTGGGAGTGGGTGACGAGAGGACTTGTGTGTGTGAGGATCTTTATGGATTCCCTGGAACTGCATACCTGGACATGAATACGTGTTTCTGCAAGAGTGGCTGGACCTCAGACCCTGCCGATTTGGGCGTTTGCGTTCGTGAGTCGCTCCTGCTGCATTGTTATACAATCTCTATAAAATCATAATCTGAGCATTTTCTCTCAAACTTTTGAATGAGTCGTTGTTAAAATTTCTGTACCAAGTTAGCATCAGGGGTTGACTTGTGGTGTTTAGAGCACTGCAATGAGATTTGGCCGGGGGGCCACTGCTACATGAATGACACTGTGACTGTGTGCAATGCTACCGGTGTTACAGACAAGACATGTAGGTGTGGGCCAGGGTTCACTCCCCGGGTCAACGACACCGCCGTATCGCCCTTCATTCCCTGCGAAGGTAAACAGCATTCAAGATAGCCCTTTTTGGATATATTATCGTACATTCGTTTCAAAGTTGACCCAGAAAACTTGACGAAATAGGGTCTATATAGGGTTTTGAAAAAACTGGGAAAACCTACTTGGGCAACCAAACAAGGCCAGCGTAGTTTTCAAAAAATTTTGAAATTCAGGCGTGCCCAATGTATGAATATCTATACATACACATTATGCGACAAAGCTGACTTTCAAACATATTCGACAACATATTCGACTTTTTTATTTTATAGTTATACATATGTATCGTTTTTTTTTCGAGATTCAGGTCAAGAATTAGACTACGCCAACAAATTTTTTTTTTGCTGCCAGATCTTCAGATCTTCAAAACAAAGTTGTACATGAAACAGACGCGGATTTAAAGTGTTTCTCGAAGTTGGGGCGGATTTCGAAAATATTTTTGAAGAATTTGAAGACCGTTTTTTAAGTCATCACTAAAATTATTTTTTTTCGAGATTTAGAGATCTAATAACCTTTTGATCCTAATCACTATCGATCAGTATAGGCCTGGTCACCATTTATGTGGAAATTAGTATTCGGCTCAAGGCATTAAGGGTCGAGTGGATTAATGATGTAATTGAATCAAGACAAAACAAACAAACAAAACTGCTTATATCAGTTCGCAGTTCTGAAGTTTCCTAGTACCCGCCCCTTGCAATTTATATACTGCTGATAAAAATTGTCATAAGAATTAACATTTTATTAAACTTCAAAAATATTCGAGATTTTTTGAAATTTTTCTTCCATACGCTATGTTAAGTACAAAAAGCAAGTTCAGTAAAAAAACATGAATAAAAAAGTCTAGAACTTTCAAAAGATACAGAAACATGCACTTTGAAAATTTCGGTTTTTTCTGAACAATATCTATATCATATAAGTGATAGATTTAGCTTTGGTAACATATTTACTGGGACAAGTAGCCTGCCTTAATTCAATTAAGAAAAACTTCAGATTCTGGTTGAATCCCAGCTTGCGCGTTATTGAACAAAATATATTGCATGTTTAAGTCCTAAATTATTCAAACGAGCTACTTTCCAACCCCCATAACTTGACGAAAAAAATCACAGATAAAACAATTTTAAAATTGCACTGAAAGCATCGTTTTTACAAATGGTACATTATTTTATGCCAAAACCAATAGGTCGAAAATTGTTTTGTAAAAAAAATCAACCCGAGCACAAATATTCCCTCACGTTCTTTGAAGTCGGAAGAGCAAAAATTTTCATATCTGTTATTTGTCCCAAATTAGCATTTCTTTGAACCTCAAAACATTACGAAAACTGATCACAGATAAGTCTTTTTTTTCCAATTTGAGTTCAAGGCAACAGTAGTTTTTGGATGATCTAAAAACTCCGGGTCCTATTTTAGTTGTTAAGTCTCTTCAAAATGTCGTGGCCTTTAATGAAATTTTTTGCATTCAAATTTTTTTATTGTTCCGACTTTTGATACGAAAAAAAAAACGGAATATTTGTGCTCGGGGTGGGTTTTTTCTTCAAACCAATTTCGATTTTTTAACGAGCCATTTTGACAAAATTTTTATATCATTCAAAAGTTATTGCTGCCCTGGGCTTAATATTGAAAAGATATTTCACATAGATATATCAAAATATGGGGGTTAAAGATTGACATTTTTGCCAATTTGTGACAATTAACGCGTAATCGGAACGCATAATCGGACAATTAACGCAAATCATTCCAAATTGGTTGAAAGAAGCTTATTTGCCAAAATTGATTTTTTACAAGGAGTGAAATCTATTCTTTTGTTCTTTATATGGCGCGCGTGCAGGGATGATTTTTTAAAAAAAATTTCAAAGTTTAGAAAACATAATTTTATTTTATTTCTATACATCAAGTTATTATTGCTCCATGAACCTTAAAAGGCAGTCGGAACCTTCAGTGCCTCGCCTTGATACGAGCAGTCTTGTTTTGATATTTCGGCATGATTAAAATCCGCTATTAAGTTTATGCGTCTTGTCGTTCCTGGTTAATCTAGTGGTGGCGAGTCAGACAAAAATTTGAAGTATGGACTGTTGTTGTTTCGAATTTCGTAGCGAAAGTAACAGAACTTTTGTGCTCGTGGTGGTTTTTTCTTCAGACAAATTTCCAATTTTTAGCTAGCCAATTTTCTATATCATTCAAAAAAAATTTGAGAAGATATTTCACCTGTGGTTATTTTTCCTTAAGTTATGGGGGTTTGAGCAGTGCCATTTTGGCCAGTTTGGGACAATTAATGCGGATGTATTTCGCTCCATTAACGCGTAAGCGGAAATTTAATCCGTCCGAAAAATCGTTCCAAATTAGTTGAAAGATTTGCTATAAAAGATTTGTTAACAGGAGTGAAAGCTATCACTTTGTATTTTATATGGCGCCTTAGGGGATGCTTTTTGCAAAAAAAAATCTCAAATTTTGTGAAAAAAAAAATTCAGTGTGTTTTATTACATTTAATTTTTTCATGTTATTACTGCTCCATAGACCTTAAAAGGCAGTCGGAAAACGCAGGGCTTTGCCCTGATACGAGCAGACTGGTTTTTTTCTGCTGTTTTTTTTTCAATTAGGAAATAGGCAGGACCAATAATGTAAACTACTTTTGTCAAAGGACCAAACAAGTAAGCTACTACCAAACTCCTTTCAAAAACGGTTAGAAAAAAGTCACTGAAAAAAAAATAAACGACACCGAGCGCAAATATTTCATCTTTTGGAGTCGGAACAAAAATCTCGAAAATATCCTGGCTGAAAAATTGTTTCTCTGTCTGCCCATAGAGTATTTTCAGCAAATCGGTTTAGCATTCTGTAATATTTTGATAAATTTGATTTTTTTTCAGCTACTTACTGTATAATCGGAGAGGGTCCGACTGCGAACCACCCGTTCTGTGTGCGTGAAATATTCAACGCATCTAGCGCAGGCATCGCCCTTTACGACCCCTACTACACCATCTGCGCTTCTGGGACGGGATCCCAGTTCAACCAGAGCTACTGTGGAAGTTAGTATATTACAACTCTCGTCTGCAATTTTTCCGAGTATTTTTACTCATTCCGCCCAAACTCGTGAAAAAGGAATGTTCTCATGACAGAAGGACAGAATGAGCGAAAAAGTTTAAGCAATTAACGCTCTTTAAATTGACAAAAAACTGACTGAGTTTATTGCACTTAATTTTTTTTTCGAAATTAAATTTTGACTACTGAGTTCTGATTATAGCTGACATCATTTTCGGCCGTTAAGCCCTTCTGGCACGAGCCTCATTGGAGTCTATATGTTGCCAGGAGAAGGTGGTGGGCTATAATGGGAAAGAACCTATTTTAATTCTGCAACTGAGATTGTTGGTGCTAGGTAAATAAGACGACAAGTCATTAAGGCGACATGACATTAAGACGGCAGACAAATGAGAGTTGAAACAAGCAATTTGAAGTGTTCGGCATGCAAATTGAAAGATTTTTTTTTGCGTAGGAGACTGCATGGCTGGAGATCATTATTGCATGAACAGTGACTTCACCGGACCCTGTACCACTGGAGACATGGACTGTCGCTGCAAGGCCGGATTCGGACTCAAGGCACTAACCACCGCCACCAGCAAATGTGTACCCGTTCGGTGTACTTTGGAGGACCCTAATTGCTATTGCAACAACACATTCGACCCTATTGACGAATGTTTCTGCGGGTATTGGACAACCCCAGACCAGAACAACCCCGGATTCTGTACCAGTAAGTTTAAAACACGAGGGATCTATAATAAAATTGTTTCAAGTTGTGCAGTAAGGCAACAATATAGAAAGCTTTTCATTGAAAGAGCTCCAATTTAATCAAGCGCAGAATGTAACTCAACTTGTTGAAGCGCCGCTTAGAAATCTCTTAAGTACTTACTAACTTGGACCTGATTAGTTAATCTATGTACCATTTATCCAAAAAAAGAAGATTATAGATTTTAAAAATCTCTTTAACTATTTCCATCCCTGTGGTCCAGGTTACAAGGCATTTCAGTTTTTTGATATCTGCCAAAAATCCTAGAACCAACCCAATTTTGAAAAAATACACGCCAGGTGTTGTTTGAAGGGATGCACATTGCGAGACACTTTGGGATACACCTTGGAAACATTTTGGGATACTTATTGGAAAAGTTGGCGTTTAGGCTCGTGTCCGTTGGGCGAAGCGAACTGCGTAAGAGGCGACACGAAAGAGCGTTGCTACTCGGATTACGTGGGCTCTGCAGGGTGCCAGTGCCGGAATGAGCCCAACATGGAACTGTGGATACCCTACTCGACCAACTACTCCACTTCACTTGCACCTGGAATCCCTTCCACAACTACTGTACTCATGTGGGACGCCGCTACCTCCTGTGAGGATTATTGCACATACACTGTTCTCTAAGGGGTGTCTTCTACCACCCCTACCCTCCCCTTAACCACCCACATTGCATAAAAAACAACAAAAAAAGGCCAACGTTTTTTGTTATTTGCGGAGCATCCAGGTAATGATGTTGCAAAATTGCAATTTTTTTGCATTTTTTTAAAAGAAAATAAACAAAAAAGTGGAATGCTTTCTGACAGTTTTTGGAACGTTTTGATCAAAAAATTCGATCTTTCAGTCCAGCCTTCTGTTAAATTTATTATAAACTGGCGCCAAAGGCGCCTTAAGAAAAGCTTTGGGTTAGTCGATCAAAAACGGGTCTACTATAACAGTACCGAAAAAAAACTCCTTCGGGCGGTAAGGGTCAACCCCTGACGGGGACATCTATCCGCCCTCTCTCAATCCGATGCTGGGGGTATGGATCCAAGATTTTGTGCAGAGCGTTTGGTTGTTTCTGCCAATGTAGCCAATTTGCTCTGACTTGCACAACTCAGAGCCGTTACGTTCTCGCAATCTCAGTCAAAACTTCTTTTTCCAGCAATTTTCAAGCCAAGTTTTTCAAATAAAATGTTAATATTTTATTCAATTCAACTACTAAAACTAGCGAAAAAATTCATTCAACTGGAATAATTTTTGCATGACCTATTACAGAATTCAAAATCTTTTTGAAATTTAACATCTCAAACAGATTGACTTTGATCACAAAAAAACCAGGAGAACCAGCTGCTCTGCAGTTTGTACACAATGTTCTGACCAACATTATACGAACACAGTATTTCCTAAGAGAGTAAAAAAAGACAGTTATAAAAAATGTGCAAAAAGAAAAAAACTGTTTCAGTTGTTTTTTCTTTTTCTCAAGTTACCGTGATTATTTAGTAAATTTTTACTGAATTAATACAAAATCTGCAAGAAAAATTAGAGCCAAAGTCAGGGGTGCATCTAGAATTTTCTTGAGAGGGGAACATTTTGTGGAACTTTTTTTACAAAGTTGACCAAACTGGTTTTCTATGAGCTAGCAGAACACTACAAAGACCCTATTTTGACAAAGTGTTCTGCACCACTGGCAAGTGCTGGAAAAAAACTCATTTTTCGAACAGTTTGACCTTTAAAAAAATGTATTTTTTTTTGGCGCGCGCTTGCCTTCAAAATTAGTATTTACTGATGCTTGATTGAGACACCTTTGGAAAAACATTAGGGTTGGTCTGTCAAAAAGGGAATATTTTTCTACACTCAGAGATTTCTTTCAAATTACTGAATCGCAATCTCAAAAGATTCAATGTGATACCTTAATTGACACCCTCGAATTTTATTCTATTTTTTAAAACTTTTTAAAACTTTCAGGAATAAAAGATAACAATTGCTCGAATAACGTTAGAATTTTAAGAGTATTTTAAAATTGAAATGTTAATAACGAGCTGAACCTCTTATTCTATTTTGTATACAAACCAATTTTTTCCTCCACACCGAGACAAGTTTATTGTTTCGACTTTCGAATGAACTAAATATGTATTTCCGTTCGGCATGGTTTTTTTCTCCAGACAATTTTCGAATTTTTCAATAGCGTTTTCTGGCGAGAATAGTTTGTATAATTCAAATGGTATGGTTGTTTTAAGCTCAAATTTTTGTTTTTTGTAAAGTTATTGAGGTTTAAAGATAGCCAATCTGGTCAATTTGAGATAATTAATGCGCGATATTTTTTGTGCTAATAATTTTTTGGCGGAGATATGGTCCGTCCGAGAAAATATTCCCAAACGAATTGAGTCATCCTGTTTGGTCGATTTACTCCTTTGCCATTTGCAAAAAATATAGATTGTACTTAACATAGCGTGTGGAGGATGTTAGGTACTGTGCAGTTTTCAAAAAAAAATTGAAAACGCTCAATGTTTTCTGATTTTTTAAAAACTTGATCAATCTTTTTTAAAGCAAACACGGCTCTTTGTTTCTTTTTAACTCGACGTGGAAAATGTTTATATTTGAAATAAATGTTAGCTGTCCGATTATTATGAAAACTGACATTCAGACTGATTAGGTCATGAAAAACATATTTGTTTTTCATACTTAAACCACCCGTTACACCATAAAATTCATGCTCGTGCGAGATGGTAGAAGGAAAAAGAGCCGTGGACAGTACTCCATAGTGTTTAAAAGACAGTCGGAATAATCAGAGTTTGGCCCTGATACGAGCAGTCTTCTTGTATATTAAAATCAACCATTAAATGTAATCTTTTCAATCGCCCCTATAATTCCCTAGTTGACTTTAAAAATATTATCATGTACTACTTTTTCTTAGCTTCTATAAATGAATTTTTGAGCTCGATGTGAGCTTTTCTTAGACTTTTAAGAGTTCATGGCGAAATGTGTTTTTTTTTATCTGAAACATTGTGATGCATCCGCTAATTGTTCAAAAAAGATATTTCCCCTGTTGTTAAATTGCTTTTCCAGTTTTTGCTACGCAATGAGGGTTTGAAATTTTCAACTTTGGACAAATTGAGAAAATTAGTGCGTGCTTTTTTAGCGCAGAGCTCAAGCGGTGAATTATTCCTGCCCAAAAATCAATCCAATTTAAACTGGACAAGCAATCAACGCTGAAAAGATAATGATATGGCATCATTACTTACATAATTACATAATTTACTTGCAAAAACTATTTCAAATACCATTTCAAAAAGCAGTCAGAACGTTTTTTGTCTTTTTTGTCGTTTTTTTTCATGCTTATTGTGTTAGCGGAAAGAAGCCTCTGAGTACAATAAAAGTGTTTCTTAATTTTACGTCTTTGAGTCAAGTGTTGACTTCGTGTTCTATGCGTTGACTTTGTGCTACTTGGGATCTTCTTGACAATCTCCCTCCCTATGATATCTAGTAAATAATCCTCACCCCTCTCTATAAAAACACCCGGGTTGAGGTTGTGATTTTATGATCAGATAGTAGCGACCAAATTTTGGCGCTTAAACCTACCGCGATGGAAACTGGATAACTTCGCCGCGACCATAATTTGGTATTTCCAGACTTTGCAGACCGATGTAATATGTCGGCGACCGGCGAGACGGAAGGAAAGTTAGCCGCGATTGGCGCGATCGAAAAAAAATTAACCGCGACCGATGGAAAATTTAACGGCAATCTGGGAAAAATGTTTTGACTGAATTTGACGCAAGTGAAACACTCAGCTGAATTTGTCTGCGGTTTAAAACCCTGTTCTTACTATGGATTTTCGGTCGCGGAATTAACAATGGCGTGACCGACCAAGTCGAAAATTAAGTCGCGGACCTCGACCCGTGCAGTATATTACCACAAAAACTGTATATTGAGAATTCTTGTTTACCTGCATTATGATTGGTCGAAAATTTGACTTAACTTAATTTACTTAACAATATCCCCCAACCTCTTCTTGAAAGGGGTGGGGTTTATTAAGTAGATCCTTTATTTGTGAGTTTCTGTGTGCTTTAGGTATGAATGGTGTGGGGGACAAGTGTATGCGGGGGATGCCCAACTGTAACTGTACAGTGCCCAATGGGATTCCGACAGACACGATGAGCGAATGCATTTGTGACAGCTGGAACAACTACATCGCTGATCCCGCCAATCCAGGAGGCTGCATTCTAGCCAACAAAAGTCTGCATTATTACACACTCAAACTTTCCTATACAACTTAGGGCTATGAAAGTTGGCGAATATTCAACAAAGTCTACAGAATTCGCCATGTCTACAAAACGCCACTTCGAAAAAGAACAAATTATTTTAAGAACACATTAGAAATCAAGGAACGTTTACAAAAACCTTTAGACTTAAGGTGAATTTATATGGTTGGTTTTAGCGTGCAGTTTGGGCTCGTTCCCTAACACGACTGAAATTTGTAATGAGTTCGCCTGTCACAACAACGAGACGCAGAGCTTCAATTTGAATTGCTTCAACACTTCTGACATACTAACTTCCACCCATCCCGACCTCACCATCCTCTGTGCTGGCAACACCGCCGGACTCAATAACGACTGGTGTGTCTGCGGATACGGGTAAGTGATCTACCCAGGGGCGCATCCCGGATTTTCTCGAGGGGAGATGGTTGACTATCAAAAAAACCTTCAAAAATATTGTCGACCTTTTTTTTAGATCGACCAAATTAATTTTGTCTAAAAAAGAGTTTTGGTTATAATTTTTGTCGTCATAAGGTCATCATCTTCTCCCAGAATCAACGTAAATTTCCATGTGATATATTTATGATGTATTATTGTAATCAATTAGACCAAATAGCTATCCTCAAATTAGCTTGCGGCAAGCTATTTGGTCTAATTCAGTTATACCTCACCCGAATAGCAGACCCAAGGTAGCCATCGGTTATCGCGTGTAAAGTATTCAGTTGAGCATTAGATCACTTTTTTGCGCAGCAAATTGGATTTTATTAACAGTCAAATCGGTTGTAATTGATTGCATTTTATACTTGATATAATCAGTTTATATACAAATTCGGATCAACCGTACTATAGCCCCCTTAACATGACCTACCGTTGAATTTTCTCCCCATGCATGTCTTAATTCTGAAAATAAAAATGCATTTCATAAAATCGCAAAAAATATGAATATTTTGAAACTTTTTTGTAGCCAAAAAGTAATTTGACAGAGGCTAGAATCAGTTAAATTTACGTATAATTTTTGTTTCGATGATTCAACCTGTTAAGTAGGTGATAATTTTTGATAAATATTTATTTTCTTTCTCTGATATTTCTTTATAGTATATATACAGATTATATTAACAGTCTGGAATGTGGGGAGATACTTCAAATTGACTAGCCTCGACAGGACTGTTAAGGCCTACTGATAGATCCTCTGCGATTCGCAGGAACCACAATAACATTATTATTATATGCAAATTAGAAAATGGTTTGTTCAGTTTTTTCGTCTATCAACTAATACGAGTAAATTTAAAAAATTGAAAATGTATGCGTTTCAGCTGAAATTTTGAGTTTAAATAATTGACCTGAAAAAAACTTTTGTATTCAAGCCCAGTAAAATATCATGCAGCGAAAATTATTTGTTCTAATTTAATTTTTCAAAGAAAATTTTTCAATTTTTTCATATAAAATTGCGCTGAAATTGTTGATCTCAGAATTGGCATTTAAAAAAAACACAGAAGAATGTACTTTATGTTTTCAAGGAAGCCCCTAGGTTGTAAACAACTGGCCTTAATTTTTCCAAAATAACGAAACCGGGAGTTTTTGAACAACCCTGAAATTATGAAAATTGATAACAATTTAAATATTTCTTTTATTTTGAGCTCAAAAAAATTGTAATCTATTGGGTGGTAAAAAAAATTTGGGCAAAAAAACTGAAATTTTTCTTGAGAAAACAAACTTCGCCGAGCACAAATATTCCATCACATTCTCCGAAAACTGTAATGATAAATACTTGACTATGAAAAAGCAAACTCTATCAAAATATGGGGGACTTTTCTGTTATATGGCCCAAAATTATAAAGACGCGTTAAATAAGCTGTTCTATTTGAAATTCATCAATTTTTGCCGTATAAGAGAATAAAAGTGGCTAAAATCATTCTCGCCTCCCCTTATGGTACCTAGTTACGAGTCAAACCCTAATACGAACCAATTTATGGGTTAAGAAAATCTGATTTTTATTCCTAGTAACAAATCCCCCCCGTTATTGCAATTGGGTGGAAATAGTTAGAGAAATCCGAGTAAAGACCCACGGCTTTGTAAGGATAGTTTTGACTTTGAATGAAGTTTATATTTTATAAAAACAATAGTAACATCATTGGTATATTAGAGGAAACAAAAAAAGTTAAAAAAGATAGCCGGTTACTGTGCAAGTAGCACAGAATGTTCCGACCATAGTCTTAAAAAAACGCATCGAAGTTTTTTCAAAGTATTGTAGTTTTTCGAGTTTTTGAAAATTATGATTCCAAGAAAGCGCTAAAATACTTTCAAAGTAACCTAACATTACCCAAATAAAAAAAGTTTTCACGTTTGAAATTAAGCTATTGTAAGCTTTTAAGCAATTAAAACAAGACTGTTCGCTCGCTGTATTCGCTCCAAATAGGACGAAAAATCAAAAATTTCAAACCGGTTTTTCTCGACACTGGGAAATTGCTTTTGAATTTTTCATAGAGGTTCGAACACGACAATAAAGGCTTTAGTATGATGTATCATTAAACCCAATCAGATCATTATTTGTAGTACCTGATTTTGCGAGGAAATCAAAAAGAAAAAAAACTAAAACAGACCCAAATGCAAAGTTCCTCTTCATTTTCAATCGCCGGAACAACAAGAGTCGAACTTGACCAATATATGACAGATATTTTAATTAAAACTTATTAGTCACATAAAAAGCAACGATTCATAATAATAACAAAAAGCTGTTTTCATATCAGAGATTATTGTTCCGACAATCTGAAAAATGGGAGCTTTGTGTTCGGGTGGGTTGTAGCTTTTTTCTCGCCAAATTAGCTACCAAAAAAATACTAGAAAAAATTAAAAGATATTAAAGCATTTTTAGTCATGATTCAACCGACATTAACACATTTTGAGAAAATAAAAACATTTTTCGTCCAAATTCGAGCTTGCTTTTGCTTAATTAAGGCCGTTTTCAATAGCTCATTTATGCTTAATTTTAGTTTTTTGAGATTTTTAATGTCATTTTAGAATCAAAATAAAATTCTGCAAAGAAATTTTTTTTAAAATTTTGATTTATTTTTGATTTTGTTAATGATTTTTTGTTTTTCTTGTCATTTTTTGTTAAAAAGAAGTGTCCTTTTTTGCCTTTATAACTATGATTGTCGAATATGCCTAGATTTTAGTTTTACGCCATACATTTTTATCACAGCATGCAGAAAAAAACTACACTCTTTTGTAGTTTTCTAAGACTATTTCTTGTAATTTTTTAAGACTACTGTCGGAACATTCTAAGCTACTTGCAGAGTAACCGGCTGTCCTTGTTCAATAGGCAATTTTCAATTCAAATAATTCTGATATTCAAGGACATATAAAAAGACCAGATAAGCCAGTTAGGTGAGTGATGCCCTAATTAAGCAGTACAATTGCACAACACAGGTACTACCCTGACTCGACCGGCAACTGCACTTTTCACGGGAACGACACAGCGGGCTACTGTGACAAGCGGTGGCCGAACTGTGAGTGTGCGAATGCGAATGTGTCCAGCTGCACCTGTGCTCTCGGCTACTACGCCGACCACTCTCTCAACACCTCCTTCACCTGCAATCGTGAGCAAAACAGGAAAAAAAGAAAAAAAATCAGAAACAAAACAGAAGGAAAAAAAAAAAAAAACTGAAAAAAAGCAAAAGAAAAACAAAAAGCATAACATTGAAAAACAGAAGAAAAACAAAACAAGAGAAGCTGAAAATATAGTACATGCTCCTATAGTTCTTTGCCCCTGTAGTACATGTGAAAAATTGACACCCTATCAAGAAATAATTCAATGGTTATGCTTTTGCGAATTTGTACTTTATAACAAATCCCCCTTTGTAATAGGAGGTAGGGATAAGGGAATGGAAATTGAAAACGAGATCCAAAAACGGACTCGTTTATTTAAAAAAAAAAATAAAAAAAAAACAGAATTTCAATTATTTCAGCTTGGCTGCCATTGGGTACCGTTCAAACATCCGACATATCAAACATCCTAATGTGGGAAAACTGTTGCAATCATTAAAAAAACTGATTTACTAGGACAAAAGTCCAACATTCTGATAGGACAAAGACATTTTAATATGGGAGATTGTTCACTTGGTTGAAAGAATTTTTTCTTTTTCAGTCAATCAGCATTTAATGGTCAATCAGACGTGTAATGGTTAATTGGTTAAATTATGGAATTAAATGAGATATTTAGGATTTTTTTGGAGGATCGTTGATCACTTGGTTAATTTATTTTTAGAAGAATATGGGGAGGGGGAGGGGGTTCACCGTACAAAATATCTGCCGACCATTTTTTAGGTCGACTAAACTGATGTTTTCCAGCTCTTTTGAAACACTACAATAATCCTAATTTTAGAAGAAAAACAGGGTGATAGTTATTCGAATAGTCTTCACTTCTTTTTTTTGTTTAGGAGACTGTGGTGTGAATGTGGAGAACTGTGTGCAGGTTGCAAATACATCTCTTAACTGCACAACTGCATGGACAAGTGCTAATCTAGGAACGTGCAGATGCAATGATGGATACAAACCTGTGAGTATAGTGTGCGAAAGTGATTAATGACCTTGACATCTCAAAGAGTCAGAAAGAATCACTAGCGGATTTATGGGGCGGGGGGGGGGGGGGGGGTTCGACGTCTTTTTCCTCAGGGATTCGACCCCCTGCCGACCCAAAGGGTCCCTCCCAGGGGCGGATTTAGGAAGGGGCGGGGGGGGGGGGCGGACGCCCCCCCTCAGGGATTCGACCCCCTGCCGACCCAAAGGGTCCCCCCTTTGATACTTTTTAAGAAATCCATTTTTTGCCATCCACAATTTGGCAAAAACAGGGACCTTTTAGTGCTTTACAAGAGCTCGGAAAATCAATTTGGTCGACCTAAAAAAAAAAAAAGGTCGTCAAAATTTTCGAAAAATTTTTGAAAATCCACCCCCCCCCCCTCAAAAAAATCCTAGATCCACCCCTGGTCCCTCCTTTGTACTATTTTGAGATATCCAATTTTGGCTGACTGACACTATAAATTTTTTGAAAGGCGCTTCGGCGCCAAAATATACTAATTTTGAGGGGGAGCACATGCCGAAAACACGCAATTTTTTGGTCAAAATTTTCCAAAAATTGCCTAAAAACGCATTTTTTGGCTTTTTTTTTCAACAATTCGCCTGCGTTTGGTCAAAATAGGGTCTTTATAGTGATTTGGTAGAGCTCGGAAAATCAAATTTGTCGACCTAAAAAAAGGTCGACAAATTTTTTGTATTTTTCTTTTGAAAATCCGCATCGAGAAAATCCTAGATCCGCCCCTGTAAAGAATCGAACATTTAAAAAAAAATCGATGAGATCATGATTCTATCGATTAAATGCTAATGGTTTCTCTTCTATTTATTTTTTGTATTTGACGTTACACTAGTACATTTGAAGATACTTTCAACCGGAAAATTTTTCGCTTGTGTCGAAAAAGAAAAAAGAAATCATAACTGAATTAATACGTTACTGAATAGACAACTTTTACGTGGTGGCGTCCCTCATGCTTGAAAGACCGAATGCTTGAAGTTAATTTCAGCTTACTTTCAACCAATCAGAATTGAGCATTCAAAATCTCAAAGTAAATTGCAAAAATCTTAAAGTAAGAAAACAAATCCAGGCCATAAGTGTTAATATTGACCGATTAGATAATAAGCAGATGAGTTTTCAAGACTGGAAACCTCTTATGATTTTGACCTCTTTAATTTTGATGATTATCTGAATAGTATTGCGGTTGTAACCCGCAATTTGTAATATTTTTGATTATTTTCCACTGATTTAATACATTTTCTGTTAATATTGACTTCGATTTTGTGAGAAAGGCATTTAGCCAATAGAAACGCTTCGCGATTTTGATTGGTTGAAACTTTTCAAGCATTCGGTCCTTCAAGCATGAGAACCCTCCCCCTTTTTACGTTAAAGTACAGATTATTACTCTAGCCTATTTTATCGTAACGTGAGATTTAGATCACTTCTTCATCATTTCAACTATCAACAACCCTCTCCCCAAAAAACTCTCCTTTTGGTGCAATGAATTGGCAGGTTGCTCTTTCTAATTCAATTTTTAAGAGTCAATGAAGGTAATGAAATTTCTTGTATGGGTTTTGGGTATTTTTCTTGTTTTTTTTTCCGGAAAAAGTCTTAAAATGCTCTAATAAATAATTAGAGCATTTAATTGGGGTACTAATAAATAACTACAGATGTGCATTCATACATATTGATGCATATAAAAATGCAATTTGGTATATATTCAGTTTTGAGATCAATGTCCTTTACGAGTTTTCAAGAAAAAAATTGAAGAAAATTTTTTAAGAATAAAATACTAAGACATTTCAAAAAAGTTAGAAATTAAATTTTTTTTCTGCGATTTTTTTCCTAGAAATTTTTCTAAGCTTTCGCCTTGACGTTTTTTAAATTTTAAAGCTTCTATCAAAATTTGTCGGATATTTTCTCGAGCGTGAAGTAATTTTAATTGTTTCACTAGGTATATGACGGAACTAGTGTGACTTGCATTCGCGTGAACTGCGACTTCGACTTCGACGCCAACTGCAACAAGGGGGTGTTCATCAGTCAGAACGACTATACAAATGTCCACTGCGCAGAAGGATTCGTACCCGACAACTTACCCGGAAACATAGGACACTGCACCGGTGAGTTATTTATAAACATACCGAAGTTTGGTCGAGACGGTCGATACGTAAGAAGTGCATCTCGACTCGGGGAAAAAACTCACGGGCCATGACCTGGACCATAGAAGGCACAATGTACGGCATCTTTGTGCTACCTCGATGCAAAACAGCGAAATTTTTTCTCTAAGTAAATATGTATTGTGAGATCCAGCTTTCTGATTTTTGTATGTATATTGAAGGATTTATTTGCTGCCAAAAGTAATAGTAGGCCGGACTAAAATTGGTTTTTTCTTGCATGGTGGTCAAACGGGGCACAATAAAGTTCTAGAACAGCTAATTTAGAATAAATTAGTACACTTGGTAAGACGACAAAATGCATTGAGCATGTCAAGAACACCTCAAGAACGAAGTAAAACTAGCTATTTTTCTGTGTTTACGCATGTGTTTACAAAAAAAGACAAAAATAATTCAAAAAAACCAAAGATTTGTGTTTACAGCTGGGTGCACAATTAACACCACTGTCCAATCCGTCGACCACCACTGTCGCGAGGGGGGCACCGTCAACTCCCCCGGCTCTTCAAACTGCACTTCGCCCCCCTGTTTCTGTGAACTGGGCTACAACCCGCAATTCGTCGACTTCACTTCGGATATAACCTGCGTGCAAGCGCCGTGCAACCCCCTCGTGGACACGACTGGAAAGTGCAAGTGTCAGTATGTTCTCGGAGCCGTATCGCACGACATGACAAATTGTAAATGTGAACCCCCCTATACTTCGTCTAGTAACAACGACGGGACCTGTGCTCTGGAGTGTACGGCAGGAGAGGATCATTGTAAGATTGCGAGTAATAATGTGACTGCGTGTACTGGAACTGGATGCGAGTGTAGAAAGGGATACTACTCAATCTGGGACACCGTCACTGGAAAGTACAGGTTAGAATCGATGACATGAAAATCATATCTAAGTATTTTGAGTTAAAAACTTATCAAAACAAATTTGAAAAAAAAACACAAGTTATCCAGCACAAAAAAAGCTTGCCAGTTACTGTCGAAAAATGTCAAGAAAAACAAAAAAAATCGTAAAAACAATTTCAAAGTTTTTTTTTAGTTTTTAGAAATTTTGAAATTTTTGATTCCCAAAACGACAACAAAAACTAACCTTAATCGAGTATAACTAATTTTTTTATGGCTTAACTGAAGCTTAAATAAGCTATTGTGAGTCTGCACGCTCACCTTATTAGATCGAAATTAGATCAGAAATCAAAAATTTCAAACCGGTTTTTCTCGACACTGAGAAAAAATTTTTATGTGCGAATCAAAACTGAAAATTCTTTATATGATATATCACATATATCCAGTAGCGGATTTAGGAGGGGGCGGACGCCCCCTTCGCCTTGAGGTATTCGATCCCCTGAAGGCCCAAAAGGGTCCCCTTTTGTACTAATTTGAGATATCCATTTTTGGCTGAGTGACCTTAAAATTTTTCTAAAGGCGCCTTGGGCGCCAATCTATACTAATTCTGAGGGGGAGCTCGCGCCGAAAAACAAAATTTTTTGGTAGAATTTTGGCTTTTTTCCAAAATTTTTTGTCAAATTAGGGTCTTTATAGTGGTTTGAGAGAGCTCAGAAAATCAATTTGGTCGATCTAAAAAAAAGTCGACAAAATTTTCAAAATTTTTTTGAAAATCCACCCCCCCCCCACCGAAAAATTCTTAGATCCGCGCCTGAATATATCATATATCTTAATATGATATATCACACGACAAATATCGACCGATGATTGTTTGTCGCACCTGATTTTGCGGTAAAAAAAACAAAAAGGAAAAAAGAAAAAACTAAAACACACCCGAATACAAAGTTCCTCCACACTTTTCAAATGGTCGGAACAATAATCAATCAACGGTTATTTGCGTCACCTAACTAGACGTGAAAGTCCTGATTTATCTGAATTTTTTACCTAATTTAACTGAAGTAACTGGTCTTCAGATGCGAGCCGTACGAGTGCGACAACACAGTCGAAGGATGCGTTTGCACCCACCCGGGAGACGTGGACACCTGTTCCTGCAGCGGAACCATCTCAGTCGGAACCACTACCCCCGTCAGCATTTCCTTCGTCGGCAACAAGTACCTCTTCCCAGGTTACTGTCGTCCAGTCGAGTGCAGCCCTGGCTCGGACCCGAACTGCGAGTGCATAGACAGCTCACTACTGGACACCTGTTACTGTAAACCGGGATACAGCACTGACCTGAAGTTTGCGGAGATCAGGGCAGATAACACTTCGGGACTGGAAGTGAACTCCTATTTCAACACTCTATGCAAACGTAACTAAATTTCAGTTTTTTTTTCACAAATGAAGCAAACCCATTAACATATTTTATTAGCTTGTTTTATTAGCGAGGTATGAAGAGTATCGGATTTAGCGGAGAAGAATGGGGGGGGGGGGGAGTTCTATTCAGAGGTTCAATACCACCCTTCATGACCCTTTGATACTTTTTTATGACTGCCATTTTGGCCGACCAACCCTTAAGTTTTTCTGAAGAAATTTTTGGCGCCTACATACTGTAAAATTCGGCGATGAGCTTGCGCCTAGAAAAGGCAATTTAGGTCTTAGGAAATAGTTTTTGTCGAAAAGAAAAAATGACAAAAAGTTTTACCTGAGTTCTCAGATTTACCTGAGCCCATTAAAGCAAGAGCTACTGTGCTCGTCGTAATCTCCTTGTGGGTCAGTTTTTGTAAAGGGTTGTTTATGATAATGAAATGTATATAGTGTTAAAAACTAGGAATAGCAAAGCTCGTGTAAGAAGTATACTAAGACGATGCGAGGATGGGTTCCAAACTATGACTGGTTTAGAATTAACTAATTTTTTGAATGTTAAAACTCTAAGCCAAACTAAGAGGAGTTAAAACTTCAAGTTGAGTAGGTTCAATTTGATCATTCAGAAATCAGAACAATGACTAGTCTTCAGCCCCAAAAACCGTTGAGCTTTTGGCTGGTATGAAATCTCTAAATACAATTGAATCCAACAACATAAATTAGAGTGAAGGTTAAAATAATACTATTTGACATCCCCTTTGATAATACAGTTGCTGATTTAAATTATCCTGACAAAACGCATTAAATTAGAAGTCTAAAATTCGTTTTTCTTGGGTTGAATTCAGATTGAAAATTAGCGATAAAAACGTGAAAAAAAAAAGCGATCGCCATTGATAAGTTATCGATGTTCATAGACACAATAGCAAATTTTGTCAACAAACAATCACTAATTTGACTGAATTTAAGCGATCAAACAGCAATAAAAAACCAATCAAAACGAGCCAAATTGTAAAGTACCTGGATTTGATTTCGCAACCACCAGTTTATTAGATATGTATGCTACCTCTGCGCCATATCTTTACACAACTTACAAGGTTTATCAACTGACACTCGCATTTGACGAATACTAAAATGAGTTAAAGTTTCTTAAGTTTTAGCACTGATTTTTCAATTATACAAGAATCAGCGCTGGAAAATAGCTATCACTGTGATACTAAGGAAAAAACAATAATTAACGGTAGGTTTTCAACCCGGGCTCTCAACTTGGGTTAACTTTAAGTTAAAAATGACGAAAACAAAACTTGCCTAGAGTTTTAGCAGAATTAGTATGTGGTGCAATTGATTGAATCATTTGTTGTTTTTTAGTCAATCAAAAATTACGCTAAAACTACTTGGTCGATCACTGAAATAATTATGTAGCCTAACAGTATGTAGCCTACATAAGTGTAGCCTACATAAATAATTATGTAGCTTCTTACGTAGCCTAACAAATTTTAACAAGTGTATTATTTCCAAAACATTGTCTAAATTAATGGTTTTTTTGATAGGTCGTTTTTACTAAATAAAATATTTAAATAAAAAAATTGGTGTTTGTCTATCAAACAAATTAATTTATTTTTACAATGTTTTGAAGAGTATACCCTTGTTGAAGTTTGTTGGGCTACCTAAGAGGCTCACATTCATATAGTTATGACCATCATCGATCAACTAGTTTTGGCGTAACTTTTGATTGACTAAGCAAGTAAAAAATGATTCTGTGAAAGATAGGGGTAAAATTTTTGGCCCGAAATTTGCAAACATAAATTGCATCATATTAATTCTGCTGAAATCCTAAGCAAGTTTTATCTTCATCGTTTTTTTCTTAATGTCAACTAATTTGAGAAAAATGCGTTTTTAATTTCAGGTTTCATTCATTTTCTCAGCAGTGTATCTGATGAAGTCTAAACGGTGGTTATAAATGATTACAATAATAATATCCTGTTCATCTAAATAACGGAACCAATGTCCGTGTGTTTTTTATTGTAAAGGGTTTCTTATACTAATGAAACATATATGTATACTTACCATTAAACTAAATTGAAGTTCACTGATTGGTGTCCATCTGTGTGTTTTAGCCATCGACTTCCGTGCCTCGTGTCCTCTGCGTGCTTGGGTTGAGGAGATCCCAGACCACACCACCGGATGCTCCTGCACATGGCTAGGTACTAAGCCGTGACCACTCATTTCTGCCACAGTCATTTCCGCAGTCTTTCCCACCCCTAAAAACCCAGTCATTTCAGCCCCCAAAAACCCAGTCATTTTCACCCCCAAAAACAAAGTCGTTTCCGCCCCTAAAAACCCAGTCATTTCCTCCCCAAAAGGAGTCATTCCCTGAACTGACTGCTTTTGGGGTGGAAATGACTGTTTTTGGAGCGGAAATTGCTAGTAGCCGTACTACATTCTCTTCAATAGATAAATGTTCGGAAAAACATAATGAGAAAAACTGGCATCGTTTCTCACTAATGTCGATCTCCGTGACCAGGGTATTTTAAGGTAAATGGTTAATAATATAAATAGTTTAGACCAGGATCATCTTGATCTTTTGATATCCGAATCATCATGATACATAAGACTTTGTGTTTTGGCGAAATTTTCTGCGCCGCAGGCAATTTTTCGGAAAAAAGTAAAAAAAAAAACCGCACTTTTTGGGCACTTTTTGGAAAGTTTTGACAAAAAAAATTGCGTTTTTAAAAATTCTTAAAAACTACCAAAGGGCGACCTTTTGGGTCGGCAGGGGGTCGATTCCCTGAGGAAAAGGCGTCCACCCCCCTTATATGGCGCTTTGTTTGGCAAAAAACTTTTGAGAATATTTGAAATTTGTAGTGCAAAAAGTTGAAATAAATTTTTTTCATCTGTTTTGTTTATTTATTTTTTAATACAATTATAGTCGTTTATGCCTAATTCACCTACTTTTCATATGTTTGTATTGCTCTATCATCACACAATGTACAAGAAAAGACAATAACTTGAAAAAAATCGAGAATGTGGTCGGAACATTCTGTGCTACTTGCACAACAACCGGCTATCCTGGTTATGATTATGGTTATGATTATTGTTATGAGTATTAATTTTATTCCTATTTTAGACCAACACGGATCCAACCCCGAGAAGCTGTGCAAGTGTGGCATAGTGGTGGACGACGACTGTTTCTTCACAGCCTGCGACTCCTCCCTCGACGTGTACATGTACAGCAAACAGTCGGATGGTCCCTGCAGTTATGAGACGACCACTGTCGAGTCTGTAATCAACAACTACGCCATCTGCAAGGACGGACTCGTCTCCGATCTCAATGGTTAGTCCTCCCAAGACTCCCGTTAAATTGTGGGATCCTTATCACAAACTAACTGCTTTTCAAAAAAAAATGAAATGACCCGATTGTTTTAATTCGACTGAGCTTATAATGTATTTAATGTCTGCATGCGCTTTTTTCTACAGTAACTCTATTTAACTTTCTTGGTTTATACTTGAAGCGTTGCCCCATATAAACTAAAGTATACATGCAATTTCTTAAATGTACGTCTGTTCCCTTTTTTAAAAAAAAAAACAAATTTCAATTAATAAAATTGACATGTACAATATGTCTATTTACGTCAACTTCGTGTATCTATTTTCGGATCTCTTTAACTATCTCTTGCAAAAAGGGGATATTCGTTACTAGGTATAAAATTCTGATATGCTTAACCGTTGATTTCTTTCTTTATAGGAGGATATTCCTTTCTAGCTACCCGAGGGGGGGGGGGGGGTACAGTTAAAAAGATCCCTATTTTCTAAAGCCTGTCGCTTTTAGGAGGGTGTGTGCGTGAGTGTAACTGGATGATGAACAGCCCCAATTCGTGTACGGAGACGACTGAGAAGTGCGCCACTGGTTTCATTGCTCATTACGACCTAAACCTCAACAAAAACTGCTACTGTACGTAAATATTAAGAAAAAATGCAACTTTGTTGTTTGTTTTTCATTTTGTTCACTCTTTTCATGGTTTTTGGCTTGGTAATTTTCACTCACATTTACAGTTTTGGCTAGATGAGTTCACGAACCTTTCAAAGATTACATCCCAATTTGTTGCAAAAATAATCCAACAATTTAGCTATTTGCTTTCGGGCTTGTGCATGGTAAATTTCTAAGACTTCAGTTGCCGCAAAAAATTTACTGCCGCCTCAAATTTAAAAAAGCTCGACGTTTATTGTTATAATCGTCTCGCTTGAAGACCAAAACGTGTCTCCAAAAATATAAGACTTATCAACCAAAACGATAAGCGGGCTTTTTTATCCGATTGAAAATTCGAAAAAAAAACTCAAAAAATCCGTGGTGTAAGTTTGTAGAAAAAGATCCAACCTGAACGTTTCGACTGAAAAAACAAACTAAGCACATTCATGTTATGAAAATTTGCATGGTGAAAAAACAAATGAATATTCTGGACACATTTCTTCTTCAAACTGTACACCAAAAAATCACATTTCAGCCAAATTAGCTTGTTAAAGTACATTGAAATTGATTATTCTGAGCTTTGGGGGGGGGGGGGGATATAGCTAAGAGCCCTTTTTTCTGTTTCAGTGGTGGAATGTCTTCCGACCGACTCAAACTGCCAGTGTCCAACTGCAGTGACGAATCTGCATGGCTACGACGACCGACTCTGTCGCTGTGCCCCTGGATACGCACCCGATGGCACTGGCGCCTGCACCCAGCTCTGCGACCAGACCCAAGAACACTGCACCAGAACATGCACAGGGGGCAACTGCTGCGCCTATGGGTGAGTGACATAGAGAAAAAAATCATAGAAAAAAAGTTCTACATAGTTAAAGGAAAGCAACCTCTTCCAAAATTTAGCAAAAATATATTGCTAGACTTGGCCTTTTAATCTGCTCGTCCGAAGAACGCAAAGTTTGCAAGTACTTTGCAAGATTATTGTAAGGTCTGGAAGCTTTTGCAAGACTCCTGCAAGTTTTTTGCTCCAATTACCTTGGGTAAAGTAAATCTAATCCTTACATTATGAACTCACTTTTTTGGGTTTTTTACTGCTTGTCAATGGGAACCGGCCTATTATCATGTTTGGTTAATAAGCCCATGTAAACGGGTATCAGGACAATTTTCCCAAGACAAATGCCCCCCCCCCCTCTCACCTATGCCAACTTGTCTTATTTCCACCTTGCTCGTTATTTCACGATTTGTTAACTCTAATATGCGCTTTTAATTGACGTGCTAATAAGCACATTCTTATTGCTACACCCCTTCCTGGAATCAAAAGTACTATTATCAGCGCCTACAAATAAACGAATCGTAACGGTGTTGGTATTGCGGGTCTGTTAAGTTAATCCGCCCAAGCTAAATTAACATCAAATCAATTGCTAATTAAAAGCAACTTTTTGTTCAAACTATGTGTGTTGGCAAGGTAATTAATTTCTGCCAATTAAATGAGACTATTTTTTGTTTTTATTTTCATAATTCGAGATAATCTGATTTGGACAGAATAGATAAAAAGATCCACTTTTGCGACTCAGGTACACGCCTCGAACCAGTTGGACGTATGACACTACGGGGTCTAATGTCTACACAGCCACAGTACAATGTGTGCAGGCAGCCTGCAACCAGGCTCTGGGCAGTACCAGCTGTGTCTGCCAGGAGGGAGCGAATGACGAGGGTTTGGACTCTGCACAATGTGCATGTGCCACTGGACTCCTGCATGATGGACAAGGCAACTGCGTCTGTAAGTTGTTTTTAATAATAACTAATTTGGGCTTACAAAAAATACAATTTTTTGTACAATTTATAACCCAGTGTCCAGCCTGAGAGTATGTCGCTAGAGCATATGGTCCGTTTTCAAATGTCTCTGATTACTTGTTATCATAAGGTTATTAGTTTTTTCCTTAAAAGTGAGATTAAGAGACGTTAAATTATTAAAGCTGGGATAAGTTCAATTTTAAATTATATGATGCAAATGTAATGCAGTAATATTCGATCTTCGCATTCTTAAAATTATAACATGCGGGATTCTTTGTTGCAACCCCCCACCCCCCCCCCCCCCCCCCCCCCCCCGATGATTCAATTACGCTGTGTGGAAGTTTACCACGCATAGACGATACCGTAGTGCGGTTTAGTAAGATTTGCTTTTATGAACATAATTTATAAAAATTACTTATAAACTGCTATTTTTAGCTCCGGTATGTTTCATTCAATCATTCAAAATCGTCGACTCAAAATCATTGCAGTGCTGAAATTTCAATTAGGCAATTTCATAAAAGTTATTGTAGTCTAGCTATTCATACCAAAATGAAAAATATTACCAAAAGCTTAAATATCGCTAAAAGACTTTGGTTGCCTTATTTAAACAAATGAAGGAATTTCAATTATCGTGGTCGTGAAAACTCTGAGCTACTTGCATAGCAACTGATTAGAATTCAGCTCCTTGATCGGTCAAAAACTGAGTGTTTTATGTTCGTTATATTTTTTCATGCTTTGGTGCAGAGAAAAAAACGTTTGGCTTCTTACTTTATATCTAATGCCAAATCATTAGCAACACGTCACCCATATTGTCAATAATTTTAGGTTGATTGAGGTTCGTTGATAGAAAAGGATTCTGCCATTATTTTGACATGAAGCTTCTAAAACTTCGTCTAGAACTTTCACGTGGTACCACTATTGCAGCGTGAAACGGCCTTGAATCGCTAAAAAAACAAGCTTCGCTCAACAAAAGAACTCAATCTAGAATGTGGGGAAGATAGAGAATCAGACTATGCTAGGCTGCAAGGCCTTTCATAGATCCTCTGGGAATCGTTGAAACCACAATTATTATTATAATTAATTTTTTAGACTGTGGCTACGTGTGTGACATGCAGTGGTATCGGGGACGCCTCCTCCTGCTTCAGTCGGGTCCTGTTGGCCTCGGAGGTGTCCACGACTGCAGTTTCTGTGGCCTCTTTCGGACTGGAGACATGCACCCTGGACACAACACACTCCAGCAGAACTACCAGTCCTGCGAGGTCAGATGTCTAATAATAATAATAATAGTTCTTTAATTTTAATGCATAATTATTCTTTAATAATAAGTGTTCTTGAACGGTCTTAGACTATTCTTTATTTTTTGGCGACTAATTTTTCAACCACGTCGCGATGAATTTTTCGGCTATTCCGCGACCAATTTTTCGACCATCGCGACCCAGATGCGTTCTTTCCAGAACTTGTCCGCGACTTAAAACTCTGTCCAGACTATGGATTTTCGGTGGCGGATTTAACATCGGCGCGACCGACGAAGTCGAAAAAATAATCGCGGACTTCAACCCGGATATTACACTATGGATATAAAGCCCAGCTGCACCCCCCAATAAGGGAAATGTTTCCATTTTAAATATCACCCTCAGTCATTATCTTAAAGCCCCGGTATAAGTATGATAGTTGGATCCCTTAAAGCAGATGGCGGGACCCATCTTTCATACTTGCACCGAGCAATGGAAGTCTAGTTTCTTTTCTGACCTGCGCGTGTTCGCTCATCATTGTCAAATTGGGTCAGCATTAGTGTTTTAAATTTGTGTTGTAACTTTGGGATCCCTTATAAAGGGGGTGGTCCGAAATTTTGAAATAGCTGTCTGCAAATTTTTGCCGTTAAAATTCTATTCGTCGCCTGTTACGAATCGTCGCCTTATAGATGCCCAGATTTGTCGTATGACAGTAAAAGGCGCGAAAAAAATCTCGTTGCCTTTTTGTAAAATTAGATTTTTCATTAAAATCGGTTACCATGGTAGCTCAATTCTGTTTTGCGTCTTCTTACCGTCTCCGTGCCGTTTTTTGTTTAAAAAAAGATGACAGAGATTCATTCATGTGGACTGAAGCGAGACTGAATCCCTCTACAAAACAACACAAAAACATCTAAAGACCAACGATTCTATCTTGGGACGAGCACCTGCACGTATTGCTGCATTAATGCTATTTTAAAGCTCAAACATTTAGTCACATAGAGATTTGGCTCGACTTGATTAATAATTGAGAATTATAGGTCTGATTTTGAACCGTTTTAACCCCATTGATGGATAATTGTATCAAATTAGCGAAAAATTAACGAAAAAAAAATTAAAATGAACCAGCATGATTCAACAAAAAATGTGAGAACTTTTAATTTCCAAATAATCTTCAATATTATGTAGGAACTAATCATTGCATTGGCGTCAAGGTTGATCGAGAGCTTTTTCAGGACGGAATGGATACTACAATTTTTTTTAAAAGTGCTTGTGCTTTCAAATGCGTAAACTCTTGATCATGCTTCCAGATACTGTCCGAAATTGAGAGATTAGAATAAAAGAATTTAAATTACTGAAAACTAATTAAAGAAATTCAAGTAAAAAAAACCTTCAAGCAAAAAACACAACCTTGAGTGACAAAAAATAACGTGGCTCAAAATAACTCAACAAAATAACAAAATTTAGGGAAATACGAGAAACCTACTATGCTTAGACGGGTCAAAATACCCTTTCATAGATTCTCTGCGGATCGCAGAAACCACAATTATTTAAATCTGAAAATTTATTCGATCAAATCTGTTCCAGCTGCGATACGTGGTCACTGACAACGACCTGAATTCAGCACCTGTCACTCGTGGATGCAGTTCCAACGTCTGTTCAGATCAGGCAGCCGGAGTTCTGGTCTGTGACGTCAACGGAAATGTTCAGACATGCACCATCTGTTGCAGCAGTGGGGCCAATTGCAACACATTCAGTGGAATTGTGGCCGCTGGAAAGGATCAAGTCATGCCCAATATAGTGGCCCTCATGGTCCCACTGGTCATGATGCTAGTCATGGCCATGAAAGAACATAATTGATGACCATGGTTATGGAGTATGGACTATTACATACACAGATCCTTTACCGTGCTTTGAGGATCAAATTTTGTATTTAAAAGGCCAATAAAAATATAGGTATTTGGGCTGAAATTTTGAGAAATGCGATGGTAAAGGCTCTGATGAAACAATCAGCTTGAAGTACCAGTGGTGATGATTAAACAAGAAAAAAATCCATCAATATTTTCACAAAATTTCCAACTATTTCTCCACATACGCACAGCGATGTAAATAGACAGAGCATAAATATTGCAATTTATTGCAAGAAATTGCAAATTTTTTGCCCAAAATGCAATAGAAAATTGTAAAAAGTGTATATGAAGAGCGACAATGAATCTGACTTTAATAGGACTGTTAATACCAATAATGAAATAGAGACCTGAATTCACGTTTTTGGTATTGGTGTTTTTCTTCACAATTTACTGACAGTTGATTGATCATTACTTCAGAAACATGTCATTTAAAACAAATTCGAGGAGTATAAGCCGAGGCTTTTGACAAATTTTGAGCTATTGTATGCCCGGGTCGAAATTGGTCCCCATTTTGGTCTCTTTTTTTCCATGGAGAGTGCTGAATGAGCCCAATTTTTGGAAAAACGACCTTTTGAGCTCAATTTTTAGCAAAAGGAGATGAATAAGTCTAACTTTTAGCATAAGGAGCCATTTGAGCCCAATTTCAGTTTAAATACACCAAAGCAAACAGTAACTTTAGGAATTGGTTGAACAAAGTACTCAAAGGGTCGGTTCGAATCCATCGAGGAAAAATTGTTTCTGTACAAAAGGAGCTGAATGGGTGCAAATTTTTGCCCTGAATTTGCCCTGGAAGGGGACGAATGAGCTTCCGAACAATTTCTAGGAAGAGCGAGAAAAATTATTGTTACATAAGCTTTCCATTTACTCAAATGATCTCGGATGAAACTAATGTACAAAAACATTTGAAGGAATAGTGACAATTAGTCAATCTCTCAGATTGCTGAACATACGAAGCCTTCGGCGGGGCATAAAACCACTGCAGCGGGGCAGAAAAAAATTATAAAGATTACTACGCTTTCTTTTGATTTTTTGGATTAACTTGTCCTGCACAGACTTTCTGGAATGACATGGTTTTTTTTCCAGAAAACATTAATCGATGTAAGTAAAAAGGATATGAAATAAAAACAAGACTGCTTGTTCAAGATTGAAACTAAAATGAAAGCATATCAAGACCAGCTAGTCCAGCAGTAACGTACTTGACCTGAAACCGAAAGGTCGCCGGTTCGAATCCCGGTCATTCCAAGTATTTTACTACTAAAAAACTTGGAATACACTTGATTTGAACCGGATAAAAAATGTTCCTAAGTCAAACTTGTTTTTAAATGATGTTCTGGACATGAACTTAATTAGATTTTGGCCAGAATTGACTTCTAACTTCTGGCAAGCGTGAAAATCCCCACTTATTGGCAAAAGTAGTGACAATAAAGTCGCTTTCGATTTCGATTTCGTTTAAAACTTGATAATTTTGTTCCGAAACAGATATTATTCCGTTGTTTCCTCTTAATGATTTTCGATAATTATTGAAAGAAAAATATATATATATATATTGAACAATAGTATTCTCAATCGAGATACCTACAGCCAATCTACAGACCGACGACATACTCGACCGACCCACCACAGACCGAACACAGGTGGAAACATGGTCCACCGACAATCGACGACAAACCAGACGAAACCCTTGACGACTCAGTTTTTTGTGAGTGAGAGGTACCTCAGTGAAAGGTGATTGTGCAATTTCACGAAGGTGTATGCAGACAGCTACCTGCAAGTGAGACAGGAATCTCCCCAACCGTTTTTGATGGCCGAAGTTGACAGAAAAAACTATTGTAAGACGTAACTTTCAGTTTAGTTTTTTCATAAACCAGAGCTATAATTGTTTTACAATCCTTTAAAGTTTTTTTATGTGACCCATCAAATCCATTCAGTGTGCTAAAATGTTGATTTCATTATGTTTACCGTGCTTTTGCCAATAGTCTAACCCGAATACCCCACCCAGAAAATCCGAAACCCAAAAAAAAATCGAAAATCAAAAAAATTTGACTAAAAGCTAAAATTTTGGTTTCATTTGCTAGTTTATAGTTAGTAGTCGATAATTCAAACCCGAACCCACCGTTCCGACCCGTTAGAAAAAAATTTTGTGAAAATTTTTGAGAAAATTTTCGCAAAAAAATTGAAAAATCCGAAATCGACCCCAAATCGTCTAACTTCGGTACCAAACTGACTTAGACGATAAGAAAAAAAATTTTCGAGAAAAAAAAATTTTGTCATTTTTTTTGCGAAAAAAACAGCCCGGCAAACGTAAGCACTGCAAATTTACGCAGTGTACAGACCCTTTAGCACTATATCAAGTCAATCCCGTTGAGTTTTTGCAACTCCGGTTGTTTCTGAGCAGGTGTGAGATTCTCAAAATCCGGTTGACTTGATTCCCCCCAGATTTTTTTTATCGTGCCGAATGCCGTCGTAAATGTATATATTAGCCGCTAGCTCGCTCTCTCGTGCTCATAAAACGCTACGTATAGCCGAGCAAAACCGTATATCGCAATACTGTTATGCCCTTGGTGGTTTAAGTCTCAACCACAAGTACCAATCAAAACGTGCCCAAACTTTTTTAGACGGCGAATTAGCCCATAGAAATGACATAATAATCTGGCACGACCTGATCATCAATTCAATTAGCAAGCACAATAGTAACAACGATACAGCACTCACGGAACTCGAACTGCGCAACATTCTGCTTTATTACAAAAGTAATATTGCTGCAATTGTATATTGTCAACGAGTCGAAACTCCTAATATCTACGATTTGCTGTGCTCAACGGGCATTTTAATTTTAAGCGTGACTGGCGACTTAATCTCTAAGCGTAAACAGAAAGACACTCGCTTACTCCGTCAGTATTTCCAAATTCACCAAGAAACTGACCTTGAACTAAAGTCTTTCTCGATAGTCTGAAGTAATACGGCAAACTTAAGAAAAATAAAGAACAAAAAAACCGACCCTCTCAAAAAAAAACGTCGTGCCGAACGCAACCGCCGCCTAGCTGTTGAATCTGCAGCAAACAACCTTTGATATTCTTTGTAGTGTCAATGTATTTCAATTTGTAATTTAATTCTAAATTACTGTTTTCTTTTTTTTTAAAATTTCCGCTCGCTCTAAATCGTAAAAGTGAACTTCCCCACCCCCCTTTGTAAAGTAAAGTGTGACGATTTTTATTGCATTTCCGGTTTTGCTGAGAAGGTGTGAAGAGTGACATCACACTTGACTTTTTAATCCCCTTTTTTTGATAGTTCACAACCGCCCGCTTTTCCTTTATTCAAAGCTAAGTCATAACAAATAAGCAAGCTCAGAACGGTTGTAGGAAATATGAGGAGGAATGTTATAGGCTCTATTCAGATCTGAAAGACTCACTATTAGCAAAGGTAAGGACAGTCAAAGTTGAAAGGTCTATCCAGCAGTGCCAAATAGCAATAGAAAACGCAATAACGAAAAACGACGACCTTCGCATTCTTGCTCAAAAAACGCTAGAACCTAGCAGTGCTCTCGCTGATCTTGACACTTGGTTGATCAGCATTACTTGCGCTCGAGATGAAATGCTGGAATTGTCAATTAAGCACTTGGAAATGGCGAAAACTTTGTTTCCAGAGACTGGAGATGCTGACACGCAAGCATCGCGAGCTGCGTCAACTGTCAGCCGGTCCACCCGATATAGTTCCCTGCACTCTAGAGCGTCTTCAATGACTTTGCAGTCAGCGCAAACGCGAACTCGAAATAGCAAAATTGCGACGTCTTGAAATCGAGCGACAAAATGAAACAGGTATCCGCCTAAAAGAAAAAGAAAACGAATTGGCTCTTGAGACACTTGTTGAGGAGAACAAACGAAAGCTCAATGAGGCCAAAATAGTTGAAACAGAGTTAATGGATGATGATTCGAACATTGATACTGACATCAATAAAACCGCTCTGCCTTCGAGTAGAACACATCAAGTTGTCGCTGAAACCCGAACAAAAGATTGGGTGGACGAAGCACTCGATACACATTCGTCGGAACTTGCATCAACTATAACCATTGTTCCCCGACAAGAACCTCAACCTCCGGGCATCGCCAATTTGGTTTCTTTGTCTCTACCACCAAGCACGGTTGATCTAATAAACGTCCACCTTTTTCCATCCAGTAGCAACCCAAGCGTTTGCCTACCGTTACAATCGGTGCTATCATCTACCGTTCATAATTTGAAGATTCCTTCTCAACCTCTCCCACCGCCGCCGCCACCACCCCCGCCCCCGTCCTCGCCCCCGCTTCCTTTCATTCCACGTATGCCAGCAACAACGGTCCCCACATTACATGCTTCTGTCCCAATTAATACAACAGTCAATACGGCAACCCAGCCGGTGAACCTGATTCTTATTACTGCTCCACCAGCGAGTATTAATAACTCAACTCGTGTTTCAACAAATCAACCATCCTTCAACCATCCACATCCAGTTCGCTATATACCCAATATGAATACTTGGAGAATGGCACCTCCAACCACCGCGCCATTTATCGCATCAGATTCTACAGTACCCCAGGCGTTAAATAGTGCTGTCACACCAATAGTGCAACCACCACTTTCACAATACCCGTGCACTGTTGGAGGGACAGTGTTTTACAATAACCAAGCGCAAGTGTCAACACAGTAGTTGTCTCAAGTCCCCAGCTATCCACATAGTGCCTATGCTTATCCGACATCATTTGTTCCTCAGTTACACAATTTCGCTTCAACCTCAGTTCAACCACCACCTAATGCAGTAATCCTTGAAGATTCAAAGGAAATACTAACTTTCAACCGTAAGGATCCATTACCACCGTGGAACCTTAGGAAATACGGTGGCTGTCCACTTCAGTGAATTGAATGGATTGGACAATTCCGAAGTGCTGTGGACTCTCAAAACTTGTCAGATGATAATAAGCAGCACTACCTTAAATCATTAGTCAAAAATAAAGCTGAGACTGCTATAGCTGAGTTTGCCTATAGTGGTACAAAAATGCTCTCATGAAACTTGAGAGAAAAATTGGCCAACCTCAAATAATAATACGTGCATATATGGACAAACTTCATAATTCACCGCCCGTTAAGATGCATAGTTCCGACAGCATCATAAGTTTTGCATCCATGATAGCAAGCATAGTTGAAGTGTTCAAATTTTTACATTACAACGCAGACCTTGAAAGTGCAACACTTCTCGATAAAGCAATAGAGAAGCTCCCACCTAATATGAAAGAGCCTTGGTCGTTCCACACCGTAAAACGGAGTTTGTATGCTCCGTCTTTAATTCATTTCAATCATTGGCTGCAGGATAAAGCTGAAGTGCATGAACGAATGCGTCCTTCATCAAACTACAATAGAAATCAGGATAATTCGGTTCGGACAAAAACCAATGTTAAAATGTTTGCCGCAAACTCGCAAGCTAAGTTTGACGCAAATATTGAATATAGTCCATGTTTAGTTTGTAAAGGCAAGCATTCAATTTTTAAATGTAGCGTTTTTAAAGAAAAAACTCCAACACAGCGTGCTAAATGTTGCGCTGAAATTAAGCTTTGCTTTTCTTGTTTTCAAGGAAATCACATGTTTAGGAAATTTCCCAAGCCCAAAATTTGTCCTAAACCACAGTTCAAGAGCACTCATAATGTGTTACTGCACGGCGCAGAACGCGTTTTCCCTACAAATAACCAATCTGGTTATGCACCGCACACAACTGCAGCCACTCTCGCAGTTCAAACTCTATTTAGACCCACGACGCAAAACAATACTTGTGGGACATCCCTTATGAATCTAAAAGGACTGATGCCACTTATAAATCTCACATTATCATCAAATGACTCTGAAACCACCGCACTTGTGTTATGTGACACAGCTTGCAGTCATTCTTGTATTTCACCTAAACTCGCTCGCAGACTCAATCTGACAGGTAGGAAAATTGATTTGACTGTCAATGGCGCCAATTGTTCCGAAGATATTACTTCAGATCAAGTTGATTTGAACGTTTCTTTGATCCAGATATTTCGTTCACCGTTTGTGCATATGTAAAAAACAACATTTACATAGGTTCAGATATAATTAACGTTCGTAGGTTGCAAGAGAAATACTCTCACTTGGAACCAATTGATTCAGTCGAATTTCGGTCGAAATGATTTTAGGTCAAGATGTTTATGAGTACATTTGTCCTCTGGAATACTGCCAGGATAAAAGCCAAAAATCACCTTTCGCCGTTCGCCTCCCAATTGTATGGGTCTTAAGTGGTCCACTCCCTGCCTCCACCGGCCTGATCTCAACATGCTTACATTGTAACATCGAAGATGTAAGTTTGGTAGAGCAGGTCAAATCTTGGTACGAACTTGAATCATATGGTACGTACAAAACAAGTAGATGCCCGATCGTCAGACGATAAAAGGGCGAATAAAATTTCAGAAGCATCAACTATACATGATGGTGATAGATACGCCGTTGGGTTGTTTTGGGCCGAAGACCACTCACAGTTGCCCAACAACTACTACTCCGCCTTAGCACAACTTAAATCTCTGGAAAAACGTTTAGACAAAGACACAAACCTCAGGGCTTTATACGCAAAAAAAACATTCAAGAAGATTTTGATAAAAGCCAAAAATCACCTTTCGCCGTTCGCCTCCCAATTGTATGGGTCTTAAGTGGTCCACTCCCTGCCTCCACCGGCCTGATCTCAACATGCTTACATTGTAACATCGAAGATGTAAGTTTGGTAGAGCAGGTCAAATCTTGGTACGAACTTGAATCATATGGTACGTACAAAACAAGTAGATGCCCGATCGTCAGACGATAAAAGGGCGAATAAAATTTCAGAAGCATCAACTATACATGATGGTGATAGATACGCCGTTGGGTTGCTTTGGGCCGAAGACCACTCACAGTTGCCCAACAACTACTACTCCGCCTTAGCACAACTTAAATCTCTGGAAAAACGTTTAGACAAAGACACAAACCTCAGGGCTTTATACGCAAAAAACATTCAAGAAGATTTTGATAAAAGCCAAAAATCACCTTTTGCCGTTCGCCTCCCAATTGTATGGGTCTTAAGTGGTCCACTCCCTGCCTCCACCGGCCTGATCTCAACATGCTTACATTGTAACATCGAAGATGTAAGTTTGGTAGAGCAGGTCAAATCTTGGTACGAACTTGAATCATATGGTACGTACAAATTAAGTAGATGCCCGATCGTCAGACGATAAAAGGGCGAACAAAATTTCAGAAGCATCAACTATACATGATGGTGATAGATACGCCGTTGGGTTGCTTTGGGCCGAAGACCACTCACAGTTGCCCAACAACTACTACTCCGCCTTAGCACAACTTAAATCTCTGGAAAAACGTTTAGACAAAGACACAAACCTCAGGGCTTTATACGCAAAAAACATTCAAGAAGATTTTGACAAAGGTTACGTCATCAAAGTGAATACACATGACTGCACAAATCGTTCCGCTAGGGAATGGTATCTTCCTCATCGCCACGTGATTAATCCAAATAAACCAGGTAAAGTCCGCCGCGTCCTAAATGGTGCAGCCAAATTTCATGGATCGTCACTTAATAAAGCTCTTTTGGTTGGCCCAGATTTGTTTCAGAATCTGCTGATTGTCCTAATGAGATTCCGTCAACATCAACATGCAGTATCAGGTGATATTGAAGGCATGTTCCTTCAGGTTGGTGTTCTCCCAATCGACCAACTGTCTTTTCGTTTTCTGTGGCAGGAGGATTCCACAACCGATGTGGTAACGTATCAATACACGCGACACATTTTCGGAGCTCGTGACTCGCCCACAAGTGCTAATTTTGCTCTTCAAAAGACAGCTCGCGACAATCAAGTCTTGTTCCCCGACGCAGCGTCAGCCGTGATGCAAAAATTCTAAATGGACGATTATCTTGATTCCTTTCCCGAACCTGAACAGGCATTAAAATTAAGTAAGGACCTTGTAGAACTACTTAAGTTAGGAGGATTTAAGTTGACAAATTTCGTGAGCAATGTCAAAGAGATTCAGAAAGAGTTATGTACGTCAAGCGACAATTTAAGTCAAGTTAAGGAGATTCTAAGTAGTGAAGGTCAACAATCGCATGTTCTAGGTTTGAAATGGGATCACGTTCTCGATACATTGGTAGTTAGTCGAGGTGTAAACAGAGAACTGAAGGATACTGTTACCCAACGTACAGTTCTAATTTTTCTCTCTTCAGTTTTCGACCCTATTGGGTTAGTCGCTCCGTACACTGTCAGAGCCCGACTACTTCTTAAAGAGATTTGGAGAATCAGTGGTCAACAATGGGATAACCCACTTCCTTTGGACTTGAATGCCAAATTCCTCGAATGGTGGTCTGGTCTAACCATCCTGGGTCAACTGATCATACCGAGATGCTACTTTCCATCCGCAGTTGACAAAATTGAACTCCATATGTTTGTTGACATTTCACAGGAAGTCTTCTGTGCAGTTGGATTTCTCCGTGCGCGCATTATTGATACACATGAGACAAAACTCGCCTTCATTTTGGGTAAAGCCCGCGTAGCACCAATGAAGGCTTTTTCCATCTCAAAATTAGAGCTGCAAGCTTCTTTGCTTGCTACACGCCTCAAAATAGATATCATGAAAGCACTTTCGATCCCTATAAATGATGTCTTTATGTGGACTGACAGCACCACTGTGCTACAATGGCTCCATTCGACTGCAAAGCAGCCAGTATTTGTCGCTAATCGAGTAGGCGAAATACTGGAAGTTACCACTGTCGACGAATGGTATCACGTAGATACTGAAAACAACCCAGCTGATACTGGTACTCGAGGTATTGCCGCTGAAGCCTTGAAGGACAGCAGCTGGACTCAAGGTCCCAGCTTCCTCAGAACCAGTGATTGGCCCTTTCGACCAAATGTCGATGTGATTACAAAATTAAAATTAAAAGGTCCTATCGATGATGTCATCGATACTGCCACTAAATTTGTAATCAACCCGTCAGTCCCTGAACCCGTCATTAAGTGGAAACGTTACAGCTCGTTTCTCAAATTATTGTGCGTAGTAGCATTCATGCTCCGATTAAATCCTAAATTTAATCATTTCCGTGGAACAATCGCTAATATCGTTAAACCGCCTGAGATAGATAATTCTCAACGAATGTTGTTTCTTCTTTCTCAAAAAGAAGCGTTCCCCTCAGAGTTCAAATTAGTGAGTTCTGAGAAATATGTTTAGAATGTAAGCCCTATTGCAACTCTCTCCCCATTCATTGACCCCGATGGACTTCTTAGATCCATAGGACGCATTAGTCGTCTCTCTGAACTCGAATTTAAAAATAAATATCCCATCATACTTGATGGCCGTCATCAATTAGTCAAATTGATTGTGGCTCATCAACACAACAAACATGAGCATCAGTCAATTGACTACCTACGATCTGTCATCCAGATAGAATATGCAATCTTAAAATTAAGATCATTGCTCCGTAACATTGAACTTAATTAAAAAAACTGCCGAAAGCGAAAGTTGAAAAACATCACCCCTTTCATGTCTGATCTGCCAATTGAGCGTCTTGGATACCGCCAAGCGCCCTTCAACAATTGCGGAGTCGATTACTTCGGACACTTTCACGTAACAATCCGAAGGAGTTCGGAGAAACGTTGGGCGTTTTTGTTC